TGACATATTGTGCATTGGAACCCCATTGGAACCCTTTCCCATACATCAACAATCACAAAACACCAACAATAATTATTTTGTCACACCTAAATTGGAAAAAATGATTAACTTTTAATATCTGGGCTTTTTTGCTTTAAAAGAAAAATTGTAACTGATCTCCCCTACCTTTCTTCTTCCTCTTCCCCCCCCCCCCATACTTCTCTCACCCTCTCTCATTTAAGTTTGGTGAGGGAGGCAGGGGCCTTTCGCCCCCTCCCCCGATCCACACGATGTTGATGGGATTAATCGCAACTGATCTCTGCTTCTTTCACCCTTTTCTTTTTTCTACCTCTTTTGTGTTCCATTTAGCTCTCCTCTTTCCCTTTCCTTTCTGTCTTTTTTTTTTTTTGGCGAGAAGGGGGGGGGGGGGGTTGGTCTGGGGGGCAGAGGCAAAGCCCTTTTCCGCGATCTTGGGGGGGGGGGGGGGTAGTGAGCACCCTTTTTTTTTTTGGCCCTCGAAATTTTAACAATTTGCACCCCCCCCCCCCCCCCCCCCCCCCCCCCCCCCCCCCCCCCCCCCCCCCCCCCCCCCCCCCCCCCCCCATCCCCCTACTAGATCCGCCACTGCCTGTAGTTTCATCCCTAGCTAGCTGGTTAAGCTGAATATGGGTTATCTAGTCGTTTCCTTCATTAAGTATAATTATACTTGTATCAGGGATATGAGAGTACATCCCTGTTGTTTTGACTATGTATACGTGTGGACTAGAGTACGGACATTCGGTGCGGCAGGAGGACTATTGGTGCGAGACCTCTTCAGCACAGATTGTCCGTCAGACATTTGAGGCGCGCACGGAATGTCCGACACGGACATTCTGCGCGGATAAAATCCGCACCGATCGTCCGCTCTCGATCGATCTCTAATAGTCGGACGATCGGTGCGGGTTACATTCTACGCGCTACGCGGTCACACCGGCCCCAGAGTTAACCTTCCTGAACATTTGCGCTCACGTGCGTGCATATGTGTTATGGAGCACATGCATAATGCATACAGATAGTGCAGTGCTGCACATATAGCTTACGAAAGAATTTCGATTGCGTAATTAACCGGCTTTACACGGCCGCCGTCTTCGAGAATCAAAGTAGGGTCTACCGGTATATTTAAAGCGTGAAAGTATAGCTATAGCTCTGGGAATCGCGAAAAATACGAACAATGGGCTTGATGAGGATCTTATCGCCAAGGTTTGCATACTTGGGGAGAAATGTTGCTCAACTTCGGCAGTGCCAGTGGCAGTGTTCAGTGAGTTATCCAATAATATTTTATCTCGGTCCCAGTCATGGAAAACGATGTGTTGTCAGTGCAGTCTGAATTGAAATGATTTGTTTTTGTGATGTCGGATCGAATGTTTAGGGATGTAACACTTGTGATATAGATCTATGAAGCATCAAGCAAACTGCCTTGCATTTGGCCAGTTGGCACCTATTTGAGCTGAATGGAGAAACAAAAATTGTGAAATTTATATAGACTAGACCTCTAACTGTTACTGTTAGCAGAGGTCTAGGTCTAGTCGGCGCTTGTTCAGAAACCTATCAAAAATTTGACCCGTAATTCCAGCGTGGAGATACCCTACTAAAACGTACCCAAAATGAAGTAAATATTCATAAAATGTCCAAATAAAGATCATGAGTTAAAAATTGTTATGTTTATTACCTGTTTTTGTGTCAATTTTCTTGTTATTTTTGGAGTATTTTTTTGATAAACGTTGATAATAGTATACACTTTTTCACAGGTTTCACGGCAAAAACGCTGCACGATATAAGAACATACCGATGGTGGGTTGCGGGCGGGCGCGCGCCTGTGTGAAGTTATCTACCGTAATATCTCAGATTCTCATTACGGTAGATTACGCATATCTCATTGAAACATGTTCATTTATTACATGCATTTCATGAGAAACTCAAAAGATCCCTTTTGAATGATAAAGTTACTGACAGTAATTAATTTGTCATCAAGACTCAAGTTGCCCACTTTACTGCAGTTCAAAGTTTATTTCTGTTTCCAACCATACATAAATTTTCCTTATAATTTACAGGCGTTTCCAGTGAGTGCAAGATATTCTACAGCCACATTAGTCTCCAACGATGTAAGTGCATGTTCATTTTATTGATATAAAAATTCTCATTATCATTGATGTCATTAACATCTTCATCTTCATCATCCATCATTGTCACCATCATCATTACCATCATCATCATCATCCTCATTATCATCCTCATCATCATCATCATCATCATCATCATCATTCATCATTCACCATTCATCATCATCATCATCATCATCATCATCATCATCATTCATCATTCATCATCATCAACATCATCATCATCATCATCATCATACTCATCATCATCATCATCATCATCATCATCATCATACTCATCATCATCATCATCATCATCATCACCACCATCATCATTACCATCATCACCATCATCATCACCATCATCATCATCATCATTCATCAATTTCCAGGACATCATGAACAACATTCATTTTACATCTGATCATCATTATATTAAAGAAGATGATGATTATCATCCTCCTATTGAATGCTGGGGCTTTTACTTCATTTTACTCTTGCTTTGATGGGCAAGTGAGTAACCAGGTTGCAACAGTTCAATTTGTTAAAATAATGGAATGTTATTTCTACTTGTCAGAAATAAAAAGGAGTACCAATGAAACAAAAGAGATTAATATTTTCAAGTTGATGAGAACTTGGGCTGGGACAGGGATAGACACTGGTAAACGTAGGCACCCAAATGTTACCCCTTGACCTTTCCAAAATGTCAAAAACCTAACAAGGGGCTCATGCACGCCCAAAATTAATGTGTAATACAGACTTCTGCAAAATCTAAGCGTGAAGCTCTGCTAGGGTCTATGGAAAATCCTATACCATAAATCACATTGTAGCTAATCAGTTTATTGCTTGCCACTGGGTTGCACCTTGTATAACAACAGAGTTTCTTTCTTGTGTCTATTTTTAATGTCAGGACGTACGGAAGATCAGGAACATTGGTATCTCAGCCCACATTGACTCCGGCAAAACAACTCTTACGGAAAGATTACTTTTCTACACAGGACGGATAAAAGAAATGCATGAGGTAAAATATGTACAGTTTTCATAATTTAAGGAACAGAAAATTTCAAATAAGCAAAATACAGTCAAATGTTGAATTATTGTTTTCTCATAGATTTTTCTATGCATTATGAAAACTTTAATAGTTTCACAGTAATTACTTTATTTGAAATTTCTGTGATACACAAATCTTACATTATGAATTATAGATGGCAATAAGCAAACATTGATCCCTGTTTCACAACCATTGCAAAATGGTAAAAAATAAATTCTAAACATTTTTACTTTTAAACATTTATTTATTAATTAAAGTAAACAAACTTTCCCAATAATAGGCAAATTTGCACTACAATATGAAATAAAGTTCCCATTGTTTATTTTAGCAGAGCTCTTTCATATTTCTAGAGCTACTGTATATTAGATTTTAGCTGATTTGCTCACTGCCTGTGTGTATTTCTTCTTTCGCTGCTCCTCAGGTAAAAGGCAAGGACAATGTCGGAGCTACCATGGATTCCATGGAGTTGGAGCGTCAAAGAGGGATCACCATCCAGTCTGCTGCCACCTATATCTCATGGAAGGACAACAATATTAATATCATTGACACACCAGGTTGGTTACTCAGGAAAGGGGAACTTTAGTAATAGGAAACGCAATCTTATTTTTGTACTTTTTTGATAATTTTTTTAATGATATGATTATATTACTCTGGTCAACGGACGAAGAAACATAGCTACACATTTGAGTTAATGAATATTAGGAACCCTAATGGGATGGATTTCTGAAGAAAGAAATTTTGTTGTAAGTCTCAAGACGATGTAATCAGCTACACAATCTACACATGAATGAAACTATATAACAAACACACCAAAATAAAATCCAATAAGTTACAGCGAGATATCTCTCTAAAGAAGTCTCACGCATTGTATCATTCATTTGGGATCAAAAATAGTAATGAGTCAGAATTATTATTTTTTTTTTTGCCCTTGTTTATTTTGGTTTGTCTTTTGTATGGTCATGTAGACTTCCCAGTTTGTTCGTTCGTGTCTCGTTAGAACAAGACAGTTACAGTATGTAAAGTTCCTTAAATAAATTAAATTACATTAATTAATATAAAGTTCTCCCATCCTCTGACTTCCCAGTGAAGGAAGGACTATAACATTTATTGGTTCGCTTTTTCTTTAACATCCACTTTGTTTTTGTTTGTTTGTTTGTTAGGCCATGTGGACTTCACGGTAGAGGTTGAGAGAGCTCTAAGGGTACTGGATGGGGCAGTGTTAGTCCTGTGCAGCGTGGGTGGGGTGCAGAGTCAGACACTCACAGTCAACAGGCAAATGAAGAGATACGCAGTACCCTGCATAGCATTCATCAACAAACTGGACAGGTAATAGAAAGAACCAAAGTGGGGGGGGGGGGGGGGGGTAGAGGACTATGGTAGGGGTATGGGCTGGATTGAGTGCAGTGTGGGCAGGTGCAGAGTCAGACATTTACTGTCAACAGGCAAATGAAGAGATACTCAGTACCCTGCATAGCATTCATCAACAAACTAGACAGGTAATAGAAAGAACCAAAAGGGGGGTGGGGGCTATGGTAGGGGTATGAGCTGGATTGAGTGCAGCATAGGTGGGGTGCAGAGTCAGACACTCACAGTCAACAGGCAAATTGAAGAGATACTCAGTACCCTGTATAGCATTCATCAACAAACTAGACAGGTAATAGAAAGAACCAAAAGGGGGGTGGGGGCTATGGTAGGGGTATGAGCTGGATTGAGTGCAGCATAGGTGGGGTGCAGAGTCAGACACTCACAGTCAACAGGCAAATTGAAGAGATACTCAGTACCCTGTATAGCATTCATCAACAAACTAGACAGGTAATAGAAAGAACCAAAAGGGGGGTGGGGGCTATGGTAGGGGTATGAGCTGGATTGAGTGCAGCATAGGTGGGGTGCAGAGTCAGACACTCACAGTCAACAGGCAAATTGAAGAGATACTCAGTACCCTGTATAGCATTCATCAACAAACTAGACAGGTAATAGAAAGAACCAAAGGGAGTGGGGGGGGGGGGTAGAGGGCTAGGGTAGGGGTATGAGCTGGATTGAGTGCAGTGTGGGCAGGTGCAGAGTCAGACACTCACAGTCAACAGGCAAATGAAGAGATACTCAGTACCCTGCATAGCATTCATCAACAAACTAGACAGGTAATAGAAAGAACCAAAAGGGGGGTGGGGGCTATGGTAGGGGTATGAGCTGGATTGAGTGCAGCATAGGTGGGGTGCAGAGTCAGACACTCACAGTCAACAGGCAAATTGAAGAGATACTCAGTACCCTGTATAGCATTCATCAACAAACTAGACAGGTAATAGAAAGAACCAAAAGGGGGGTGGGGGCTATGGTAGGGGTATGAGCTGGATTGAGTGCAGCATAGGTGGGGTGCAGAGTCAGACACTCACAGTCAACAGGCAAATTGAAGAGATACTCAGTACCCTGTATAGCATTCATCAACAAACTAGACAGGTAATAGAAAGAACCAAAAGGGGGGTGGGGGCTATGGTAGGGGTATGAGCTGGATTGAGTGCAGCATAGGTGGGGTGCAGAGTCAGACACTCACAGTCAACAGGCAAATTGAAGAGATACTCAGTACCCTGTATAGCATTCATCAACAAACTAGACAGGTAATAGAAAGAACCAAAGGGAGTGGGGGGGGGGGGGGGGGGTAGAGGGCTAGGGTAGGGGTATGAGCTGGATTGAGTGCAGTGTGGGCAGGTGCAGAGTCAGACACTCACAGTCAACAGGCAAATGAAGAGATACTCAGTACCCTGCATAGCATTCATCAACAAACTAGACAGGTAATAGAAAGAACCAAAAGGGGGGTGGGGGCTATGGTAGGGGTATGAGCTGGATTGAGTGCAGCATAGGTGGGGTGCAGAGTCAGACACTCACAGTCAACAGGCAAATTGAAGAGATACTCAGTACCCTGTATAGCATTCATCAACAAACTAGACAGGTAATAGAAAGAACCAAAGGGAGTGGGGGGGGGGGGGGGTAGAGGGCTAGGGTAGGGGTATGAGCTGGATTGAGTGCAGTGTGGGCAGGTGCAGAGTCAGACACTCACAGTCAACAGGCAAATGAAGAGATACTCAGTACCCTGCATAGCATTCATCAACAAACTAGACAGGTAATAGAAAGAACCAAAAGGGGGTGGGGGGGGGGGGTAGAGGGCTAGGGTAGGGGTATGGGCTGGATTGAGTGCAGTGTAGGCAGGTGCAGAGTCAGACATTTACTGTCAAAAGGCAAATGAAGAGATACTCAGTACCCTGTATAGCATTCATCAACAAACTGGACAGGTAATAGAAAGAACCGAATGGAAGGGGGGGGGGGGTAGAAAGCTATGGTAGGGGTATGAGCTGGATTGAGTGCAGTGTAGGCAGGTGCAGAGTCAGACATTTACTGTCAAAAGGCAAATGAAGAGATACTCAGTACCCTGTATAGCATTCATCAACAAACTGGACAGGTAATAGAAAGAACCGAATGGAAGGGGGGGGGGGGGGTAGAAAGCTATGGTAGGGGTATGAGCTGGATTGATTGCAGTGTGGGCAGGTGCAGAGTCGGACGTTTACTGTCAACAGGCAAATAAAGAGATACTCAGTACCCTGTATAGCATTCATCAACAAACTGGACAGGTAATAGAAAGAACCGAATGGAAGGGGGGGGGGGGTAGAAAGCTATGGTAGGGGTACGGGCTAGATTGAGTGCATTGTGGGCAGGTGCAGAGTCAGACATTTACTGTCAAAAGGCAAATGAAGAGATACTCAGTACCCTGTATAGCATTCATCAACAAACTAGACAGGTAATAGAAAGTATCTGCCGTTCTCTGGGGGAGGGGAGGGGGGTGGGTCTCTAAGTGTAGCATGGGAGGATTACAGAGTCGGCTACTGACCATCAACAGGCTAATATAGAGATACCCAGTGCCCTGTATAGCTGTCAACTAACTAGACAGGTACAAGAAAGCTTCCGCTATTTTATGTGGGTGTGTGGGGGGGGGGGGGGGTATGGGAGGGGGTTGATGTAAATAGAGGGGTAGAGATGAAGGCTTGATTTTGGTGCTGTGCCAATCGCTGGTATAAATCATGTACTCTGCATAGCATTGATAAACAATCTAGCTGCAACTGGAATAGGGAATGTTCATCCAGTGACCATGGTTATGATATGTCTGTATGACATTGTAGATGGTTATATATCAACCCAGGATTGAGTATTGTTTTATTTTTTCCCCCCTAGAATGAAGGCCAACCCACACAAAGTTCTTGGCCAGCTTCAGTCAAAGATGAACCACAATGCAGCATTCCTCCAGCTTCCTATTGGCTTAGAGGCAGACACGAAGGGCGTGGTTGACCTCATACACAGGAGGGCGCTATACAATGAAGGGAATGCTGGGTAAGAAATGGATAATTTTTTTTTTTTTAATCAATCTTTCTTCATCAAATAAAAAGTAGAGACAATAGTGTGTTGAATGATTTCTGTAGATTGGTAATTAATTTAATTGGAGTCTTGTATTTTGCATTTAAAACTTGCTCAATCTAGGACTGACTTACAGCACAAAATTTAAGATGAAAAAATACATATAAACATATTTGAACTAAAATCTGTATGTGTTTGGATAGTTCAGAATCATGACAGCATTATTATTGAATGGATTGTATTTCAGAGAAGTGATACGAGAAGGAGAGGTACCAGAGGATATGCAGGCAGAGGTCGAAGAATACAGACAAAAACTCATTGGTATGTGCTACTATGAAATTTATCCCCAAGTCTCAGCTTCATTGGAAAATGTGCACAACAACACCTTAAAGGCATTGTTTAACAATGATAAATCTGAGATGCATGGCCCTACGTGTTATCAGTGTCTGTGATATGGTATAATATTGAAGCCCTACAAAAATTGCGCTTCAAAATGATCATGAAGTGCTTCAGAAAAGGAAAAATCTTTGAGTGACCGGTTTTACCATACTCATATTCCCCAATGGACTGTAGTGTTATAAAAACTGTTCGAAAGATGGAAAATTTGATTTCGATATCCAATCATAAATATCTTGATAATCAGACAGGCGATCAGCTTGCAAAAGTCATGGGGTTCTTGACTGACCTAAAGGTTTACAATTATCGTGAGCTAAATCCATGATTTTGTTTCAGAATCTGAGACAATTTTACCAAGTCACTTTAAGATATGAAAATGATTGATATCGCAGGGATTGACTCTAACTGGCTGCCAGGACATGCATGTCCCTAGACTTGAATTTAGGACCTCCAAATTTTTAAGAGGATTCCCTGCATCCAGGCCCTTAACTTACTCTTGGGGGTGTTTCATGAAGCTGTTCGTAAAGTTAGTGTCAGATAGGATGCCCAAAGTTTTTTCTGATATTTCCAGTAACCTCAATTACATTATGGCAAAAAATATACACTGCATTAAAAATGTTTGTTATAATAAGAATGTTAATCTACATCTGCACGGTTCAACTTTAGCTGATGCAGTTAATAATGATTGAGCATCCCATTTGGCTTTTCATATACAAGTCGTTCGTACAGTCATGCGTAACTTTATGAACAGCTTTATGAAACACCCCCCAGATCCCCACTGAAAGGACATCAGTGTCGTGGCAGGGATTTGTGCCCTTTTACCTTCTCTTTCACAATCAGGGCCCGTTGCACAAAGCTTACCATTGATGGTAACTACCATGGAAACCTTGATTTTGATTGGCAAAGTTACCATCAATGGTAAGTTTTATGTAATGGGGCCCTGGTATTTGTCCACTGGACCACAACACTTCATGATCTAGAATGCATCATCGTTATTGTTCTTACAGAATCTCTGTCAAATGTTGATGACAAGCTTGGAGAGATGTTTCTGGAAGAGAAGGAACCAAATGAACAACAGATTAAGGTATTGTATTTCCATCGGACTTCATCACTGTGAATTTTACCTTCTTTTGTTTGACTTGTTAATATGTGATTGTTATCATTTGATATTACATATTGATGTATTATTATACTTAAACTCTTTAGCCCAAATTCACAAAGGAGGTTTGTCAGCAAACCTAGGTTTATGTGCGTCATTTGATGCACAAAAATCTAGGTTTGTTGACAAACGTCCTTTGTGAATTCGGGCCAACATATGCTGGACATTGAAATTATATATTAGTACTTTGAATTTAATATATATGTTTTCCAGCTGAGGTGGTGAATGAGTTCAATATTGTAGTCCAAACAAAGAAGATGAAGAGAGAGAGAGAGAGAGAGAGAGTGAGTGAGAGAAAGAGAGAGAGAGAAAGAGAGAGAGAGAGAGAGAGAGAGAGAGAAAGGATGGCATTTTTTACTCAAAATATTATCATTCATTTCATAAAATCTTGACTGATGTTGCACAATAACCCAACATTTTTGCTTTCAAATTTGTGGCTTTTTGTTGTTCAGGAAGCTGTGAGGAGATGCGTGCTGAAAAGGACTTTCACCCCAGTCATGATGGGAACGGCTCTAAAGAACAAAGGAATGCAGGTCAGTGTCAAGGTCAAGGGCAATGGCAAGTCAATGACGGGGTCAAGGGCAAGTCAATGACGGGGTCAAGGGCAGGGTCAATGACGGGGTCAAGGTCAGGGTCAATGACGGGGTCAAGGGCAAGTCAATGACAGTTGCAATGACTGAGTGGAGGGGAATAAGTTACTGCTGAGTTTGTCACAATCATTTGTTTGAAGCCAGAAGGATGTTAGCTCAACACAGAGTTAACGCTCTTCTGGCTGTGCGAACAGATGACATCTTCATTCAATAATATTTTAAGAATAACCCTGCATAGCTTCTTCGGGGTTCTTCTCTAGTACTACGATATCAAACCAGGGCTGTCTTGAATTCAAATTTACATTTAAACATAAATTAAACAAATATTTATAGCACTATAATTTCAATCAGGATTGCATATTTGTGATTTGGGTTAATTTACAGAGTTATGTTAAAATGTAACGTTTTATGCAAGAAGGTCCAGCACACTTTATTGATAATTCTAATATTAGCATATCAACATAATATTTGTTGATTCGTTTTTCATATGCAGCCACTTTTAGATGCCGTCTTAGACTACCTTCCAAATCCGACTCAAGTGAACAACTACGCTTTCAATGAGTAAGTCTCCAATGTATCTAGCCTCACAATAAAAAGATTAAGGCGTTATAGAATGGTATAACATTTTTATACATTTCTAATATGTACCTAAGTGTATAAATGGGTACCCTATTGAAGGCCAATGTCGTTATGTCTTGAATTAGCATGTACCGGTATATTCCTGTGGAGTGGTAACTGGCATTGGATGTTTAATACCAAAGAGATACACAGCTTTCAATTTAAGTGCAGAACTATGAAAGGATTCAATTGCTTGTATTCATAAATTTAGATTTAATTATACCTGGTTTGACTTGGACCAATTTGTGGAGCCATGTATTAAGCTCTTTGCTTTGTACAAGTTACTGTAATTCTGTAAGATGAAGAATCAAGTCATGAAACGGAATGAGAAATTGAATCTATAAGAATAGATAATTGTTGTTTTCATTTAGTTACAAAATAACAATAAGCTTACAGGATTAAAGATTTTTGGTTTGCTATAAATTGTGATCTGATAGCTTGAACCTTAAGTAAGGTTAATATGCTTTTATGAAAAACTGTAGAAATAGTACACTGCACATTGCTTTGATCAGCAGTTGGAGGAAATGATAATTATTAAATAATAACTATCCTGTTGAAATATTACCAAAACTTGTATTACCTTTAATATTTATTGTTTATTTCGATCATCTTTTTACTCTAATAGCAAAGATGAGAAGGTTCAGATGAGTCCTGTCAGAGATAACTCTGAAAAGTTTGTCTCCCTGGCCTTCAAACTAGAGGTGAGTGTTTGTACTCTGACAATGTACTCTATCTTGTCTGCCCACCATTCAATCAGTGGATTTAGGGATGAAGGAGGGGGGTAGGGTGGCAACCCCCTCCCTCCTCTCAAGCTAAGAGACCACCAAAAATTCAGCCTTTTGAGGATTATACAGGTGGCAATGCTTGAGTTAGGGTTATAATGTTACATACCCTTTCGAAGTCCACAGGGACATTATATCATAATATGATAGGAGCTATACAAGAACATTTTTTGTGTTGTTGTTATTATCGTTGCTGTTGTTGTTTTTCTTGTTATTATGATAATTATAGACAAATTGTTCTTGCTCTTTTAGGCAGGTAGATTTGGCCAATTGACTTACATGAGGATCTACCAAGGCTGTTTACAGAAAGGGCAGTACATCTACAACACGAGAACCACCAAAAGGGTGAAAGTCTCCAGGCTGGTACGCATGCACGCAGATACAATGGTGGTATGTCTTCATATTTATATATATATATATATGCAGGTTTTTTTTTTCAGACCATGAGATTAATGAGATGTGAGAAAAAAATGAAAACAGAAAAGACATAAAACAAGCAGTGCTGTTGCTTTGACTTTTATTTGGGTTGCCAGCCAGGCAATTTTGACAATTACTTCCATTCTATCTTTGGAGGTCATTTACAGTGAACTGCATGAAATTGACATACAAATGATACAACAGTGAGATTGTGTTATTGCTGTTAGGGCAACAAATGCAAGACTTTTAATTTGCCCATCAGGATTTTATGTTGTCAGTGGTCTTTGGTCAACTGCTAATGTAGATCACTGACAAGTGATTTAAGATTTAAGTGGTTATACTGATGACTTCAATGCCAGAATCTTTTGCTTCAAATTTATAGCTCAAATCAGTTTACCATACCGGTACTCTATCTGTCTGTCATCCATGATCTAATGTTGACCTGGCATTTATCTTTCTCTGTTAACCTTACATTGACCTTTATTGACCTTGTGTAGACCTTTGTTAACCTTGCATTGACCTTGTATTGACCTTTGTTAACCTGTCATTGACCTTGTATTGACCTTGTGTCGTCCTTTGTTAACCTTGCATTGACCTTGTTTTGACCTTTCTTTGTAGGATGTGAGCGAGGTGTATGCAGGAGACATCTGTGCTCTGTTTGGGGTAGAGTGTGCTAGCGGAGACACATTCACCACAGAACCAAAGACTAAGATCTCCATGGTGAGTATTATTGGTAGGGTGATTATCGACAAGTCTTTTGTTGACTTAAAGGTAATAAAAAGTTTTAGTATGGGGTCATGAATTTGGTTCAAATGAACATATTGGAAGCTCTCGCGATTTTACAATATTCAATGATCGTTGTCGCAGTAAAAATCAAGTCTAAAGTGATGAAATTGTAAATAAACTGTTTATGTTGTATAGCGTGAGAACAATCATGGAGATTTTATCCAATGTCAGCCCAAGTATTTATTAATATTAAAAAAAAGATGAATTGATGACACATGGGATTGAAGAGATCGAATGTCAGAGTGATAGGGTCCTGAAAATATAAATGAGCTAAAATGACAGAGAGTATTTGTTACTATGGTAACTGTAGAAACATTAAGGCAACCAGATGTGACTCAAGTATATATAAGTATGAAAGATGAACTGATGAAATTTAGTATTAAAGAGGTCCAAGGGCAAAGGTTGCAGGGTCATAAAGCTGTTTAAATCTCAGAAAATGTGTGATGTCTTGAGAACCATTGAGACAATTCTAAATAAACTAAGGTATGTATAAGTATGAACAAATACCGTAAATCTCTGTGTATAAGACGCACTTTTTTCCTCCGAAAAAACTCGAAAGTCGGGGGTGCGTCTTATACACAGCTACAAGAATTATTTGTTTTAAGTGTCAATTTATGCCCCTCCACCTGGCACTGTGCCTGGCAATGTCTCTCAGCATAGTCGTAAACTGTGTGATGACTCACCACTCGGAAACTAGAACAACACTACCTGTATTTCCGGATTTTTGTTTGGACTTAGAGGAAAATTTGTTTGTCATCTTTAGTTTTAAAAACAACATTTGTTACTATTATTTGTGACAAGTACACATGCACAAATCGGGGCCTTCAACTGCACCTCGCAGTAAAATAAAGGTCCTTCCCCGCGTGGGATTTTTAACACAGACCTGACTTGCTGCCTACAGAGTCGGCAAAAAAAAAAAAATTTGGCCCCCCAAATAGAGGTGCGTCTTATACACGGAGATGTACTGGGGAGATTTGGGGCTGAGAAGGTCAAACAACAAAGGTCATAGGGTCTTCAAAGTGAAAACAATCTCAGTATATCTATTGTTTATTCTACTTTCCAGGAACCAATGCATGTACCAGACCCGGTCATCTCTCTCGCCATCAAACCAGAAAAGAAGGTAAAACTCAATTATGTAGAAAGAAGGATTATAGCATCAATTACAGTTTGTAATATTAAATGCCTTCTTCATGGCTCAACACTAACAGATATGTGCCTTGTTTCATCAAAACTTGTTATCAATGACAAGTTATATTAAAGATAAAGTTGAGTTCTGGTCATGAGATTGCATTGTGAAAGAAACGATGTGGAATCGACCAGAAAAGGTTGATCAACTAGCATAGAAGTATTGGTGTGGACTGCAAGGTTTTGAAATCGTTAAAAAGATAAGAAATTTGGCCCAGTCTTGGTAAAGTTTCAAGCACTGTACACAGAATATGGTCATTAATTAATCATAATTCAACAGAACTAAGATATTACAAAATAAAAAAGGCGACAAATGGTCAAGGAAGCAAGAGTTGTTCTCTTTATAGAGAAGTGGCCTTTCTATAAATATCTTTCTATCTTTCTCTCAGACTGATCTAGATAACTTCTCCAAAGCCATCAACAGGTTTACAAGGGAAGACCCAACATTCACTGTTTACTTTGATGATGAAAGCAAAGAGGTGAGTTCAAGATAAAATTGAATATTAGTCATGCAATTGTATTGTAAAAGAAACTATCTTTGAGTTTTTGGGAAAGGTTGCTTATGTTCTTCAAGTTTTTGGGAAAGGTTGCCTATGTTCTTCAGGTTTTGGGAAAGGTTGCTTATGTTCTTCAAGTTTTTGGGACAGGTTGCTTATGTTATACATAAGAATACATTTTTACATTGTAGGCTTTTGGAATCATTAAAAGGGTTAAAGCCTACTTAATCTTTCTGAAATCATGAATAGTATAAAGCACTGTATACAGGTATCAAAATTTGTCCAGAGTTTCAAGCAAGTTATTGTCATATTTAGAATGTTAGGTAATTTTAAGAGCAATCGTATTCATGTTACATTGCTACAATGCTATTTTCACATATGAATGAAATTAATGAAAAGCTGACAATATTATTTTTCACACTTATTGGACTACATATATAAGTGAGTCCTTTTATAAATAGTTTCTAAAGTTGAGATCAATTATGAAGCTCTTGATTTCTTCTTTCTAGACCATTGTATCTGGTATGGGTGAACTCCATCTTGAAATCTACGCACAGAGAATGAGGAATGAATACAACTGTCCAGTCATCACCGGCAAACCTAAGGTTGCTTTCAGGGAAACCATCACAGATGATGTCGAGTAAGTGAAGATATAATAATAATAATATTTAGCTTTTCTATAGCGCTTTAATACAATGTCTCTAAGCGCTTTACAAATATACTTTTACCCCAGTCATTGGATTCAGTGCTTGCCCACACACACTGTGTGCACAATCTCCACTCTCTGGGGAGCATATCCCCCTCTCACTTTCACTCTTCAGCTTTGTGCACACATGATACAGTGAACCCCCTCAAATAATTTTGTTTAATGCTGCCGCAAAATTAAATGCCATACCGGTACTTTAAGTGTTATGTACTTCTCATTTCTGCATTGTATGACACAGAGATAAGTTATTACCTTTTGCAATTACTGCAGTTACTTTTATTTGTTTAACCCCACTCAGCATTCATTTCCACATGAAACGAGAATTCATTTTACTTTGACATTCTTTTGTTGTTGTTGTTGGCAGTGTAACAAGTCTTGTGTCAACAATAATCGTTTAACCCGGGTCCTCATATCATTCTGCTCCCTATCCTCATCCTATGTAACTCCCTCCTTCTTTCTTTCTCTCTCTTCATCTTCCCTTCTCATTTCCCCCCTTCTCACTTTCTCATATGGCTTGTTTTCTTATCTTATCCTGTACTTTTCATATTTTACTTTATATAATAACTTTGAAAATCGTACAAATCGATCTAATAAAACAAACCTATGAATAATCCAGAAGCACAGACGCACAGAGTTTCCAAGCCAGGAATTATATTATGACTCGACTATCACGACACGACTTGGAACTAGACTAGGCGTAAATAGTTAAATCTGACTGAACGCCATAATTATAACCAACAGCAACAACAACTCTAGATATTTCAAGGCTTGCTTCCCCCCACTGAGAAAAGTTCTCTTTTATCTTTTTTAATTCCTTTTGTTATTCAGCTTTGAATATCTTCACAAGAAGCAATCTGGTGGATCTGGACAGTTTGGTAAAGTCATTGGAACAATAGAAGTAAGTTTACAAATGAATTGTAGTCAATAATTTATGTTACAAATCAGATAAAGGATGTTATACAACTCACTCCTAGTTCTTAATCAAATGATTGGTTCGACGCGGTCATGTGACAGTGATTCATGTTTAGGAGTTTAGCTGTATATTTTGTATTTCATTTTTATTTAATTTATTTCCAGGCAAGATGATAACAAATTCACAAGGTTGACAAAATGATATAACATTAACATAGTGATATTTAGCACCAGCCAATGCCTGGGGATCACCTAAAAGAATTTAAAAATTCTGTCGAGAGGCTCTCTTCACATTGGCTGGTGCACACATAAAACAAAATATAAAGATAACGTCAATATTTACATGAATGTGTAACTAAAATTAACCCTCATATTGCACATGCGAGGGAGATCAGAAGTAAATACTTTTATGTCATACAGAAAGAACAAAAAATTATCATTATCTATTATCTATTCAGACTAAAACAAAGGATGGATGTTTTCATTCGTTCATGACAGGATCTATCGGCTCTTGTTGAGCCTGTTTTAGCACCTATCAAACTCGGCCTGACAGGCTCGATGGCTTTGTACGATAAATGCAATCAGCCTCAACTCAAGTACAGATAGAGTGTATAGTGAACTTATTCACATGCATCATTTGTATAATATGCATCATCAATACATCAGTTTATGGTTACAACAGTGCGCATGTGTATACATGGACGCCATTTTAATTTACGAGTAAACAAACCATTGACCTCTTGAGGTCAGTGGTTTAAGCGAATATGATGTGAGCGCACAGCGCAGGCAGTGACGCTACAATACATGCGCATCTGAAAACATTGATGACATCACTGGAAAATTTAGGTACTGTCCATTAGAAAATCAATTTTTTGCCATTTCTAATGGCATGCAATTACCACAGTTCTACATGCTCAGGCACTTTTGTAGACATGTGAAGCACATATTTGAATAAAGATGTCTTTATAATGTACTCTTCTTATAAGAATTATTCAGGAACAACACTTGAATTTTATTTTTTAAAAGAGAAAAATGTTTTGTCTTATCTGTTACTTGAAATAGTGTAAGTTTTGTTACAAAATCCTGCAAATAAAGCTTGATATTTTTCTTTTATTTTTTGTTATACTTCAGAGCTTGGTCTTCTTCTTGCTTAAAATATTCTAGGTATTTCAACAATTTTTTTAAAATAATACTTTTTTTCCTTCAATTTTTGCCATATTTCAGCCTCTGTCACCTGAGCAATACACCAAATTTGAGTTTAGTGATGAGACTGTTGGAACAAATATCCCTAAGCAGTTTGTACCTGCTATCGAAAAGGTAAGACATTATTTGATCAAATTTTCAATGGTTCTCACAACGCAACACGATAGTTCTTCTGTACTTCAGAATCATCCTTTATCAATATCTATAACTTCCAGATAGATCGAGATGCTCCTCGTCATGTGACATAGTTTTGACCAATCAGTGAATGCAATCTATGTATGAGATATATAAAACAAAGTAGCCTTACTTAATATTAAAAGTTTACATTCTTTGATAATTCATTATTGAAGGATAAAACATTATCTTATGATCATAATGGTGAGAGCAAACTGTGGCATGAATGGCCCGCCATAGTTAAGTCCAACTTAAAGTCGATCTTAGTCTTTGTGAGACACCCCCCTGAACTTGTTCCTTTTTGCTCCGGCTTTGTAGGGCTTCATTGAAGCAACAGAGAAGGGCCCCCTCATTGGCCAGAAGATCACCGGTATCCGTGTCAGGCTTTTCGACGGACAGCATCACATGGTAGATTCCAGTGAGCTGTCTTTCAGGCTTGCTGCCATGGGTGCCCTCAGACAAGGTAATAATGATTTTCAATCTTGGCCCTGTAACATAAAGAACTACAATTATTGTATCTCCTTTTATTAGAAGCTTCCTAATATGAAATAATGTATCTGTGTCAATTTGTTCTGGTATTGAGACTTTATGGTAACTACTCTAGGATATTTTTAAGGAAGGGAAGAAGAAAATGAATCTAAAAATTGGGTATAAAATAAGTAACATAAGTAAAGTTGAATTGGATTAGTCAATTTTCTATTGTATCTGAATCGAATATATTAATTGTCCCAAATCAAACCTAGACTTGAAACACAAACTGTATCTATATCTTGTTTCTGAAATTGGATCTAAAATGTAATTCTAAACAATTTTGTTCTTTAGCGATGGGAAATTCTAACAACCAGATTCTTGAACCGATCATGGACGTAGAAGTCAACGCACCCAATGAATTTCAAGGAGCTGTCCTTGCCGGTATCAACAAGAGGACAGGGGTCATTCTTGGCAGTGATGGAGGGGAGGGGTACTTCACTCTCTATTGTGAGGTAAGTCAAAGGTCATAGGTCAATACAACAACTTCTTTGCAGAGGATAGCCAAGATGTTGCTTTTTTGTTTCTGTTGGTATTGTAAGTTTTAAAGTTATTGAATTATTTCTAAACAGATCAATTTTTAAAGCCAGAAACTCATTCACTTATAATTTAATTATATATATATATATATATATATATATATATATATATATTTTTTTTTTTTTTTGGGGGGGGGGGGGGGAATAAATGTTTATATGGATGAAGATTATGAGTGATTTATCCTTACCTACAATGCACTACTTCGTCAAAGGTCATAGCTCAATAAAACAACTTCTTAGACGAATATAGCCAAGATGCGTTTTTTTTTTCTGTTGGTATTGTAAGTTTAAAAGTTATTGAATTATTTCTAAATAGATGCATTTTTAAAGCCAGAAACTCATTCACTTATATTTTTTTCTTCAATTAATGTTTATATGTACAGAGCTTATGAGTGATTTACCTTTACCTACAATGCACTACTTCACTTTCTGCTCAATTTAAAGGGATCCGGTAACTTTGTCTAAGATCCTTTTAAAAAAATCCTTGATTTAGCTCATGCTGCAATGAAAATTATAAACATTTAGGTCAGTCAGGAACCCCATGACTTTTACAAGCCGATCGCCTGTCTAATTATGATTGAAAATCGAAATCAAAGTTTGCGTTTGCCAAACGGTTTTTGTAACACGAGTATGGTAAAACCGGTCACTCAAAGGTTTTTACTTTTTTGAAGCACTTCTTGATCATTTTGAAGTGCAATTTTTTTTAGGGCTACGATATAACACCACATCACAGACACTGACAACACGTAGGGCCATGCATCTCAGATTTAACATTGTTAAACGATCCCTTTAAGAAGAAAAATAACCAACAAACCACTGCCCCTTTACTCTATGACAGGTCCCTCTGAATGACATGTTTGGCTACTCCACGGAGCTGCGTTCCTGCACCCAGGGGAAGGGGGAGTACTCCATGGACTTCAGCCGGTACCAGCCAACCAGGCCCGCGGTCCAGGAGGTGTTGGTCCAGGCCTATCAGACCGAAAATGGTCTAGTCAAGACCGCTAAGAGATCCAGATGATGATTGGTTTTCCTGCTGGAAATGGGAAAGTGCATTTTGTGGTTGAAGACAATTAGATAACTATTGGAGATGCAGCAGAGTTTTAGTGATGGACTTTTAAATAGCCAACGAGCTGGTCGAGAACTAGGGACTGTGTTTCTAAGACCAGGACCTAAAAGGCAATATTGGATGCATTTGTCTGTGATTAGGTCTTCGGGTCTAGACTAAGACATTGAAATCTGTAGACGGAAACTAGTTTTTGTCACTATTATGAAATATGATGTGCAGAGTACTGCAAAACCATAACATTTCACCGGCTTGAAATGTTCACAAATTTGGTGAGTGGTTCAGATTGGCGAAAGCAGTATGCCGCGAAACAACTGAATCACGCCTGACATAACATTGAATATTGCTGAAGAAATTATTGTTTACAATTTGCGATAGTTTTGGGTTTTAATCAGTGTTCATCTTAAGTCCAAGGTATTTGGTGTCCCGTATGTTACCAAGTATTGTAGAGTTCTGAACATAAATAATTTCATATTTGGTCTGGTAGAAGCTCTAGTATTTTTGTAAACTTTGTACAATGATCAGATATAGTAAAACCCCTAAATGTGATCTGTGACATACGGGACAAAATAGCTTGGACTTCCCCGGGATGAATCTGGGGTTCCAACATAGTCAAAGTGACATTAAAGTCTTATTTCAGATATGATGCGGCAAAACCATGGCATTTCATTTTTATTATGATGTAAATTATACTCTTCCCATTTCTGTTTTTTATGACACACAGCTATTAAATTGAATATGCACAGGACCTGTTTTGCAGGCAGTTGCCATTCATAAAGCAGCAATTTCATTGCTCCATAACTGAAAGAGATATATCCTCAAATTGCAAAACATCATGTATGTGAAATTAATATGTGTAGAAACTGGCTTCTTAATACATAATACTGCAAAACATGTGAGCAAGACTGACCAAAATACTCCAGGTATGAAAACTATGTTATACTTGTTCTATTCAGAATTGTATTGTATGCATGTGTATTTATACAAATATTTGCAACTTCTGCTGCAAAATTTCCCTCTCTGTCTTTTAGGCATGAATATTTTATCTGTGCCTATTTATGTTGTGACCTTGTCTTGTAGACTGAAAAATGTACATGTATTTGCCAGAGTGTATGAATGATAAAGAATTTTAATATTTAAAATACGGATATGGGTTTCATTGTGTGATCAATATTGCTATGTGCAACTATCTTTTGATTCCTATCAAATGCATGGTGGAGATGGGGAGAGCGAGTGACGGAGAGAAAGAGAGAGAGAGAGAGAGAGTTTGAAATAGAGAAAGAGAACACATGAGTTGGGCTCAGAAATAACAGGAGTGATGGTTAGAGAGAGAAGAGAGAGAGAGAGAGAGAGAGAGAGAGAGAGAGAGAGAGAGATTTTGAAATGGAGAAAGAGAACACATGAGTTGGGCTCAGAAATAACAGGAGTGATGGTTAGAGAGAGAAAGAGAGAGACAGAGAGAGATATTTTGAAATGGAGAAAGAGAACACATGAGTTGGGCTCAGAAATAACAGGAGTGTTGGTTTGAGAATAGAGAGAGAGACAGAGAGAGATATTTTGAAATGGAGAAAGAGAACACATGAGTTGGGCTCAGAAATAACAGGAGTGTTGGTTTGAGAGAGAAAGAGAGAGACAGAGAGAGATATTTTGAAATGGAGAAAGAGAACACATGAGTTGGGCTCAGAAATAACCGGAGTGTTGGTTAGAGAGAGAAAGAGAGAGAGAGAGAGAGATTTTGAAATAGAGAAAGAGAACAAATGAGTTGGGCTCAGAAATAACAGGAGTGTTGGTTAGAGAGAGAAAGAGAGAGAAAGAGAGAGAGAGAGAGAGATTTTGAAATAGAGAAAGAGAACACATGTTGGGCTCAGAAACAACAGGAGTGATGGTTAGAGAGAGAAAGAGAGAGAGAGAGAGATTTTGAAATAGAGAAATTGAACACATGAGTTGGGCTCAGAAATAACAGGAGTGACGATTAGAGAGAGAGAGAGAGAGAGAGAGCAAGGAGAATAGAGATAGATACATATAGTACATGTATATGTACGACAACGAAATTCAGGAGATGGATAAGAGTGATGGCATAATTAAGAGGTAGAGAGAGATCGAGAGAGGGGAGGCTGGGGGTATTGAGGGAGCTACAGAACAAGAAGGAGAGAAATCGAGGGACTTGCAGAGAAAGAAGTAGGATATAAAATACAACAAATGGTTATGCAATTATGAATAAGAGTACCAGTACAAAAAGTGCGTCTGGTGGAGTGCTAACGGGTAGTGGTAGGCATTAATTTTGAAAGAGAATCTTCTATACAATTACCATATAGAAATCATGCTGATATTAATTACTCCAATATGAATCGTATGATTTGTTGACTTCACAACTATTTTGATAATTGATATTTGAGCTACCAATTGGAAGCGGTTTGGGGTTATAGGACTTTGCATTCTGCACTTAAAAAGACAGAGGATTCTTTGACATATCTTGAAGGCTCGTAATTGAGACTATCATGTTCGAAAGACAGTCATTGTGATCTAAATGAAATTTCATCATTTAAAAAGAAGTATAAACGGAAAGGACTTCGGCCGAAGGCATGACGGATAAGAAAAATGAGAAAGTAAACACGAGAGGGCAAAAGGCAAAAAAGGGGCGTGGCAACAGTGAAAGCCATGTGGTGTTTCGATGCGTTGCCATATTCACATTGCGTGCAGGATGCCTAAGGCTGCATGCAGCGGACATCCCGATCCCGTCGTTTTCTCTGCCAGAGTTCCGGCCGATCCATCGCTAGATATACGTAGAGAAACACTTCTTTCTTGTGCAAGAGCTTGGACGTGAGACACACTTATAGGTTTGCTGTGGAGAATCACGGCACAGACATATTTGTTGTGGAAAAACTTTGAAGGTAAATTTTAGACTCTGATTTTGATAATGTACCGTTGTAATAGGAAGTATAAAAAGTCATAATTTGCATTTATCCGTCCGTTTATAGCGCCTTAGGAAGTTAGGGTATGGTAGTCCATCCCACTCCAACAACAGCTACTGTTGCCCCTCGCCTGCTCTAGCGGGCTGCGCCGGGCGAAATGACTGGTCACAATACAATAGCCTGTACTGTAGTGTAATCCAGAGTGAAAGAGATGTGACTGGGATTATGATGAGATAAGAAAGATCATGATGTCATGAAAATTGGGAGGTTAGGTGAGTGTCAGTTAAGATGCCCTTGATTTTTTTTTCCGCCATTTATATGATATAATGACTAGTGGTATATTATCTCAAAAGAGTAAATTGATCTCCAACTATATAGTCTACTAACTATGTTCCGGCTATAATTGGCATTGCCATGCATTGATCATCAGATCAGTTATTTTTTGCTACATTTAGAGATGTGTTAATGCATGGAATGTGGGAATAAAAATTCACTTATATTTAGTCTGCTGTGTGGGGAACTGTAATTTTAAGTGTAATACTTAATAACAGGAGTCCACATTTTCAGGTATTCATGTAATTAGCTGCAGCTTTAAAGTGTTTTTTTTTCATTGATTGAGTACAAATTTGAACAAATCGATACCACTGACTTGACTATAGCCTGTCTCTTGTTTTACATTCACAGATAACCATGGCAACATACTTGATCAGAAAGGCTGTACCAGGTGATTGTGAGGAGATTGTAAGGCTCATCAAGGAACTTGCCGAGTATGAGAGTATGCCAGACCAATGCGAAATGACACCGGAGAGTAAGAACATTTTCCATTTTGATTAAGAAGAGAGAGAATTATGCAGAGCCGTCTTTAACAGAGTTTGGCCAACTTGGTGTTAGTTAGTTATAGCATAATGTATGTGTTTTAGTTGCCCCAAAACAGTATTCATCATATTGTACAACTAGAACTGGGTTAGCCAACTTTGTATATTGATGGCTTTGAAAGAATGTAGTTGGGGAGTGGGGTCGGGGGTCTGCGTGATATAAATCATTACATTTTGAAGAAAAAAAGATCAATTAAGAGATGCACATGAAAAATTTGCAAACATCTCTTCTAGATGCAATTTATGTGTACATACTTATTTGAAGTAGCACAAGAGCAACATGCATGAAAACGAAACTCCTTGAGCTCGTAGGGTGTATGAATATCGATCAAACCATTGACTCATTGAAAATATATAACTGCAGCTTGAATCTGTAGTTGAAGTAAAGGAGTTTTGATCACTTAAGGAAGTGAAAATTAGCAAGTGCAAGTTAACGTCAAAAAAAAAACTTGCCTTAATAATCAAACGAAATCACAAACTCCAGTGAGATTAAAGTACCGGTATTCATTTACATGCGGGATAAAAATTGAACAAGCCTGGTCTTGACCTCTATGTTTGTTTTGTTTTGTTTTACCTGACTGCTAAAAAAGCTTGTGTATGCTTCTAAGTCAGCAACCAAGGGACCGACGGCTTTAAGTCCTCTCCGAGGGACTTGGTAATGAGGAGTAATGCCTTACCAATTAAAGGGCTCTAGCGCATCGACTTGGTTTTGAACCCAGGACCTCCTGGTTACGAGACCACTGCTCTGCCACTGCTCCATTGCACCTCCTAATATCAATTTAATATCAACATGATAATTATTTGTTACTGTTCCTTGATTTTCGTTTAGAACTAAGAGCTGATGCATTCTGTGACCAACCCTTTGTACACCTGTTAGTTGCGGTGTGCACCGTATCCAAGGCGACCGTAGCCTACAGCTCTTTCTCCTACATGTATAGCTCATGGAAGGGCCGTACTGCCTACTTGGATGATTTATATGTCACACCAGCCCATAGAGGTACGGTATATAGATAATTATTCAGTCAATATTATAAAAATATTGACTGGCTTAACTTTCAGTAGAAACCACATATATTGCCATATTGCCCTCGTCTTTGACTCGGGGCAATATTAGTCTAGTTTGGGCAATATATGTAGTATCTCTCTCAAGGCCAGTCAATATTATATAATTATTTCACAGTCAGTTTATGTTGATAAATAGCACAACGTTGGTTGGGTAACCTCTTGTAGGTTACAAATATTTTTGGAGTTTGGATAGTTGTCATATCAATTTAAAAGTGAAGTCTTTTTCAAGATAGCTTTCTTCGATAAATTGGGCATGGAATACTGGTATGTTACGCAGATGTTAACATTTATGAAAGAGGTCACTGTTTCTGTATCTGGGTAATATGTAGACAGTCTTTGTTCAAACAAATTGTTCAACATTCAAACTCTAGGGCGGGAATTTTCATCTATGGCTTGCAAAGGATTCATGTCATAAACTTGTTGAAAACTGTTCTTTTCAAGTGCATAGTGATATCTAATGTGGCAAGACATTAATCTATGTTTGTCACTCTCCGCCCAGGTGTAGTAAACTGGTGCCTGATAGATGTTATTGATCAAGTGCTTTGAGTACCTCAGGGAATCAGGGCTAAAGCCAGGGTTAGGGCATTACATCATAGGTGCCTTGATTATATATCATCTGGGATAGATATGTACCTAGTATAAATGTAACTATTGTTATCATCAAATAGTTTTCTTTGAAATACTCTTTTTTCCACTTTACTCCATAGGCAGTGGGCTTGGAACATCATTAATGCAATCGGTTGCCAAGGTGAGCCTTTACAGCATTAACTTTTTGCTTCAGCTTTTGAAATATGTTAATTCAGAACACTTACAGGTAGTAAACTTCTTATAACAAGTCAGTTGGAAGTCTTATTAGAAAGGTATTTTTGTGGCTTAAGTGTAAGTCATGATTTTATATATTTAAAGTAAATGTTTAAATTTTGTTTGCATGTAAAATTTAAGGAAATTTTAAAGTAAAGAAAGCATGAAAATCCTACCCCAGTGGCATGCAGTCTAGGACCAGGGCCCTTTTACATTAAACTTGTTATCAATAACAAGTTACAAGCTACTGTTATAAGCTACTGAAATCAAGGCATCTTATTGGCTGAGAGCAAATTTATCATAGAAATTAAGCATTTGTTATAGATAAAAAAAAAACTTATTTTATCCTCAAGTTTTTCTGTGTTTATTGTATACACACATTTTATGGTTTGTCCAAGACATTTCATGGGTTCAATAACCTGGCTATATGTGCCTTTTGCACAATTAGAAACTTAAATAACTTCTGAAATAATTTTCCCAATGTCTTTTCTCTATTCCTCCCTCTCAGTGTGCGTTTGAAAGAGGATGTAATCGCATGAACTGGATTGTTCTGTCTTGGAATAAGCGTCCGGCAGAACTGTACGCCCGGATTGGAGGAGAGAATTTGACCAAGAAAGAAAATTGGGAAAATATCACACTATTCCAAGAACAGCTAAAGAATTTTGCAACCAATTATAAAGTCAAACTAAGTGCCGATACAACGGTAAATGTGCAGCTGTGATTTTATTTGAATGCCCTTTTTTTAATATATCTTTTATATGCAGTGTGGGTCAAAAAAAAGTTTACACCTAGAAAATTGCTAATTATTTTAAAAAAACATCTATGAACAGTTAATTATTATACATGTTATGAAAGAGTGTTTTATCCCGAATCATTAGGTATCATTTTTGTGTGGTATATGTTCACGCTTGGATGAACAGGAGGCATTGTTTGCGAGCATGCAAAATCGATTTGCGCCAAAGTTGCTTGTGTGATGTTTGCATAAAATAATTGGGATTTGGGTATTAATTCGGTCTTTGCAGATCCAAATAACATCCCTAACAAAATAAATCATGCCACACATATCAAATATCAACGAACATTTGTGTGCGCGCGCTTGTGTGTTTGTGTGTGTGTGTGTGTGTGAGACTTTGCTTCTGCAAAAATCATATGCAATGCATTTCATTTTATACATTCAATTCATTCTCTCACTCTGCTAATCCCAACATAATACATGCTGTAGGCATTACTTTGGCGCAAGTCAATTTTTGCACTCTCGCAAACAATGCCTCCTGTTCTCCAAGCGTGAGCACATACCACACAAAAATGATACCAAATTATTTGGGATAAAACACTCTTTCATTAGATGTATAATAATTTACTGTTCATAGATGATTTTCAAAATAATTAGCAATTTTCTAGGTGTAAACTTTTTTTTTTACTCACACGGTACAGTTTCCCAATGGAAATCTTTTGGAAAGACCAGAATAAAATTTTGTGTATATATCCATAGGACTTTATATCTGTCTTTGTTTTTTTATTTCTTACAAACTATACTCTCATTTTTCAAATATTTACTTGTATTCCATCAAACGAAATGAGGAATATATTTGGTCTCTTCTTCACCTGAAGAAGGAAGTATGACTTTCAAATATTTGTGAAATTTATCCATGAACAGTTACGAGCCAGAGCAAATAACACTGAGTTCCTATAGGAAATTTATTTATTCAGATGGTCATATCTCAGCCAATACTCAACTTATTCAATTGGTTTTCGACATTTGGACATTATTTTTTATGCTCTTTCGGAAAATGAAGAAAATATTTAAAAATTCTAAAAATAGATTTTAATGATGTCACAGCTTCGGTACTCTATATAAGAACTAGCTATTATTATTATTATTCTTTGTTCTAATTTACACTAACGTAATAAATGGTGTATAAACCGCACTTTTTTGCTGCCGAAAAAAATTCAAAGTCGGGGTGCGGTTTATACATGGTACACATGGCGCTATGCCTGGCAATGTCTTCCAGCTCAGTAATCGGTGTGTTGACATCACCACTAGGAAACTAGAACAACACTCAAATTTGTCCGTCATCTTGGTTTGAAAGTAATCTTTCTGATAGATCTCAATATGTAGTTTATAATAATAATTCCTACACACGGTGTACGTACCACAAGGTTCTATCCTAGGTCCTGTGCTGTTTTTTAATTTACATTAATGATCTTACTCATTCAGCTGCACCTTGCAGTTAAATGAAAGGCCTTCCCGCGTGGGTTTGTTTAACACGGACCTGACTTGCTGCCGACAATTTTTTTTTTAAGGGCGAAAAAAATGGGTGCGGTTAATACACGAGGGCGGTTTATACAACGTTAATTACAGTAATTTAAACAATCACATCCATGAATAAACTTACCTGTACTTAGGTAATGATGTTGAGAAAGAAAATTAGAGGCAGAGGGGAAGAGAGAGAGGGGGAGAGAGAGAGAGGGGGAAGAGAGAGAGAGGGAGGGGGAAGAGAGAGAAAGGGAGGGTGTGTGAGAGAGGGGGAGGGTGTGAGAGAGGGGAAATAGGGAGGGTGTGAGAGAGGGGAAATAGGGAGGATGTGAGAGAAGGGAAATAGGGAGGGTGTGAGAGAAGGGAAATAGGGAGGGTGTGAGAGAGGGGAAATAGGGAGGGTTTGAGAGAAGGGAAATAGGGAGGGTGTGAGAGAGGGGAAATAGGGAGGGTGTGAGAGAGGGGAAATAGGGAGGGTGTGAGAGAGGGGAAATAGGGAGGGTGTGAGAGAGGGGAAATAGGGAGGGTATGAGAGAGAGAGGGAGGGGGGGATAGAGAGTGAAGGGGGGGGGGACAAGTTAAGTATAATGATACTGTGAATGTGAAAAGAACTTTTCTGTGACTTCAAATCGTACATTTCAAAATTATTTCACTGTATCCTTTATTTTCACATGCTTTTTTACTTTCTATCTCTCATATCTTTCTGGCTCTTTATCTCTCTTACCTCTTTTTATCTGTATAGGCCTATCTATCTGTCAAAACATTAATAGTGTGTTAACATTTAAGAGAAAAGTAACCAACATGGTGTTGAATATATGTTAACACTGCTAAGTTTTTTTTTCTATATGATTTGTTGACTTCGCAACTCTTTTGATAATTTATATTTGATCTACAAATTGGATGTTTGGGGTATAGGACTTTGCATCGATCCTGCACATAAAAGACAGATGATTCTTTGACATTTCTTGAAGACTTGTAATTGAGACTATCATGTTCTAAAGACAGTCATTGTGATCTAAATGAAATTTCATCATTTCAACAACAAAAAATCTAAACGCAAAGGACTTCGGTCGTAAGAAAAAATGAAAAAGTAAATACAAGAGGGCAAAAGGAAAAGGGGCGGGGCATGAAAGCCAAAATTTGTGTATATACGGTATATCCATAGGACTTTATATCTGTCTTTGTTTTTAATATCTTACAAACTATACTCTCAATTCTCAAATATTTACTTCAAACGAAATGAGGATTATGGTCTCTTCTTCACCTGAAAAAGGAAGTATGACTTTCAAATATTTGTGAAATTTATCTATAAACAGTTGGCAATCATAAACATGAAACTCGGAAGGAAGAGAAATATTTGCGTGGGTGAAAATTTTCCTTAGGGGTCGATCCAGATTCTGACAACAATTTATGCTGTAAAATGATTGAATTATTGAACTCAATTTGTGAGATTCATGAAAATGACAGTCTATGATGATTAATAAGGTTTCTCTTTTTTTCCTTTGTAATATGTGTCTCGCATCTGATTTTACATCTAAAAGTGCCTGTAAAATTATGATTCGAATTCACCTTGATTTGAATGTTATTTGAATATGAATTCCTGGATTTTTATAAGAGACATGTACAAATAAGTCAATCGCACTCTGAAGCTGCCTTATATCAAATTCAGGTATTAGAATAATATTTCACACAAAGCAGCTCTCTTTTATAAAAACCTACTTGTATGTATTGTTGTAAAGTTACATAATTTATTATATGCATCTGACAGTCATATATTATTGTTGGTAAACTGTGGATGTATTCATTTGGATTGGAAGAAAAATAGAGCTTACAATGAAACAGTACTCTATATCTGTAGCATGATTCTTTATGTTAGTTTGACTTTAAGTTGATTTTATTACCGGTATACAGAACTTATGGCCATCATTCATGAAGCGTAATAACTTTATTCTGTGTTAAAAACCCAGATTAAAAGGGTAGGCTTTGTTTATTGACTTATGGCGTGCCAAGTGTCAACTTCATTCCATTAAAAATTCTACATGAAAGAAAAATCATGTCAACATGAGTAAATTCAATTAATCATTGTTCATCCTGTCACAGGATTAAATTTAGTTATTATTTTGCTACATTTTACATTTTAGTGCCAAGTATCAGGCTTTTTATTATCTACATTTTTGTTTATGTTTGATACTCCATAGATCGATTGAGTTTAGGCTAGTTTCAATAAGTTTTACTAAGTTTATCTTTATGAATTTGGGCCTTAATTTCACAGGGTGATTTCATGTGTCATATGCACAGAGTTGTTTTGTAAGCAAATGTCCCTTCATAAAGTGTGTGACTAAAGATTTTCTTGTTTTTAAAGATTTTCTGTGCGTGTTAAAAAAAAAAAATTCTATACGAATATCATTGTTGAACATTATATATGTACTATTCAACTGTATTTCTTCCATGCCCCAGAAGGGGCCGTTACAGAAATAAAAATTTGTTGTCAATCAATCATTGTCATTGTCACTATGCATGTACATATTCAGATTTATATAGAAATTAAAAAAAACTGAAATATGTAAATTGTACAAGATCGTTTGTCAAGTGTATAATAAATAGTGAATGAGCTAGTGCTACATATATCTTATCAAAGTATTTGTTCTAATTTACATTAACTTAAACACTCACATCCAAGAATAAACTTAACTGTACATAGGTAATGATGTTGAGAAAGAAAATTAGAGGCAGAGGGAAAGACAAAAGAGTAGAAGGAAAGGTAAAGAGCCAGTTAACAGATAGGAAGAGAGAGAGGAAGGGAGGGTGTGAGAGAGGGAGGGTGAGAGAGAGGGGGAAAAAGAAAGAGAGGGAGGGTGTGAGAGAGAGGGGGGGGGGACAAGTTAAGTAATGATACTGTGAATGTGAAAAGACCTTTTCTGTGACTTCAAATCGTACATTTCAAAATTATTTCACTGTATCCTTTATTTTCACATGCATTTTCCTCTCTCTCTTTCGGACTCTTTATCTCTCTTACCTCTTTCTAAGTTTCTATCTGTGTTTCTTTCTGTCAAAACGTTAATAGTGTGTTAACTTTTAAAAGAAAAGTAACTATGGTGTCGAATATGTGTTACCACTGTACTAAGTTTGTTTTCTACATAAATAATTAACTAAAAGCTAAACAGAAAACATACAAAACTAAATTTCATACAGAGATACTTTTATTTACACATAGAGAAATGGACGGAGAAATTTAGATATCAGGATATTATATATATTCCATTTCAAATCATATTTCCCTTATTATTGATATAATAAAATTTACCATACAAGAAATAACCACAATTTATAATGTTCCTGAAGTATCCTTTACTTTCAAAATATTTGAAAATGTTGCTGAGGGCTAACTGTATTCCATTTTCTTCCCCCCCCCCACCTATCTACTAAAGAATGACTTGAGAAATAACATGTCAGTATGAAATCACCCTTGAGGGGGGGTGGGGGGGGGGGGGGGTGGAGCAGATATCAAAACAATAATCAGAATTGTCTTAACAGTATTTGGAATAATTCAGACTGTACAAGACTGATCCAAGTATTCTTCACCAAATTTATAAATATATATATCACAATATATAGTTGGCATTCAAGCTCCATTATTATCCATTGCCGCTAGTTTTTCTTCGATAAGATTTCGGTCACCATCATCCCCATGAAACCGTTAGTAATCACAAGATTACTTGTGAATGAATATAATGATATGATAAGCAAATATTGATAGCATTACCTTCTTACTTTTGGAAAGGTGTACATGTATATCTTATTACCAGGCAGTGGTCGACTTTTGGTACCCGAATTTGAACTATTTGAAATGTACAATTATCGGTGCAACAATCACCCCCATATGGTCAGCTACACATGTTCTGCATTACAAAAATCTTGTATCTATACATTTCAATTTACAGTTAAACTTGTGCAGGGAGTGTTGGTGAATTAGGACATCAAATTGAAATGAGAATTGATAAAATATGGTTTGGATAGAATGAGCCATCTACTTCTTCTTCTTTCCCTTCTTCTTTCCGGACCCCTTCTTTCCTTTCTTTCCCTTCTTCTTTTTCTTGCTGTATGGACCAAGCTGCTTCCGGACCATGACTCCTCGCCACCAAGACTGGAGCTACAGACAAGAAGGACAAAGAGAAACATTCATTTCTAGTATACTGGAAACATAGGCTTTGTCTGTCAGAACTGTTGCACATGAATTATAACGTATACTAATTCAAACTGAATATGAAGACATCTATTCTGAATTATATTTGTTAGAATTGTTATGACTTTGTCAGGTAGCTCTGTCAATGATTCATTACATAACATGAATTTAATTCAATTCAATTCAATTTTGGTTTCATAAAAATATACCAAAAAACAAGTCCAAAGACAAGGTACAAAAAAAATATCACGAACAAAACAAAAAAAAGATTGTAAATTACAAAATGGTATATTAATATCAATATTACAATATAAAATTGATAATTGATATATCTGATGTAAAGGATAAGTTTACTATATATTTGAAGAAAATCATGGTGATTTTGTCAGTCACTTTGTCAGTGAATTGAGAAAGAAAGAAGAAAAAAGAGTGAAAAGTGGAAAAGGGGAGAGGGACAGGATAAAGAGAGATACAATTTGAAAGAGAGAGAGAGAGAAAAGGAAAAAAAAAGGGGGGAAAAAGAAAGAATATATCGGTATTGTATCTTACCGAGACACATGATTTGAGCTCCTCTTCTTGCTGTTCAGCTTTACGTCTTGCTTTCTCTTTCTCTATCCTGTCCTCCACGCATACCTGTTCATACTCTACATACTAGAGTAGACCAAAGATAACAAGAGGCATGCTCAATCAATCATTTATCAACGAGGGGAGGGGGGTGTTTCACAAAACTAAGATTAACTTTAAGTAAGACTTAACTATGGCAGGCCTTTCATGCCATTGTTTCCTCTCACCATTCACTGGCATTTGTCTCTCAAGGAACGTACAAATCGTGGTCACAAATTTACAGAATTTACCTTTTTTGATAGTTCATTATTGCAGGAAAAAATGTTATCTAAAGATCATAATTGAGAGACCAATGGTGAGAGCAATCAGTGGCATGAACGGCCTGCCATAGTTAAGTCCAACTTAAAGTTGATCTTAGTCTTTGTGAAACAACCCCCAGGTTTATTTTCCTTGTAACAGCAGAAATTAATCATATGTTATATGTTTGCCTGAGAAAGCAATTAAAATAATGTTCCCAGTTTGAGAAATAAAAACATGCACATGACATCTATTCTACATCATTCATTTAGCTATTTCAAGCAACATGGTCAAAAAGATTTACAAGCAATCCCCTAAAAAAATTGAAGTAGCCTTGTCCATCATATTTTGAATTATGTAAACATTACAACATCTTATTAAATCTGTTCATGATTTATAAGTGCAGTACAGCACGGTAATAATTGCATGCAAGCCAATGTCTCTGCAATCGTGTTAGACACTTTATTTATTAGATTGCTTTAACAAAATAACAATAATACAAAGTATTTATAAAGTGATTTTAATAAATGTGAAAGTACAACACTAGAGCCAAATTTAGAAGAGTTTAATTCTTACCAATTTGGTGAGTTCTTGGAGCCTCGCTAGATCATTTGACTTTGAAGCCTTGAGGACCTCTAGCTCATGCGTCTTAGCTTCCACATCTTTGTCATACTTCTCCATCCAGTACTCAACCTTCTCCTCCATTTCCTAAAAGAAAGAGACAAAGAGGAACATTTCTGAGATTGTTTGATGTTTCTTTTTAATCTAATTAAGATATTCATAAACACAAAGACATCAGAGACAGCCAATACTAACCCTACCTATCCACTTCCTAAAAAACAAAAAGAACAGAATAATATCAGGATGCCAATCATTATGAAAATCATGTTTACAAAGACATCAAAAGCTTGACATTACTCCCTAAACAACACATTTTATGAAATAAGTCATTGTCTAAATTACAATTTAAGTGACTAGATATACTATAATGTATATTTGGGACAAATTTGTGACCTAATTAATCCTGGATTACTCCAAATTTTTGATGCACTTTAAAGTCAGTTATTTCTCTTTAAAAAACAATGTTCTTAGCTCTTATAATGAGGTTTTATATCAATATATTTATTCATTACTGAACATTTTTTAACTTACAGTTTGATGCCTCTTGAGATACGTCTCTATTTCTGTGTTAACTCTCTGCTCCTCATCTACTTTTTGTTTCAAAAGCTGCAACACAGAAAAAAGGAGACAAAAAGGGTTACGTTAAATTGATGTTCCAACCTTTTGTATTATGAGCACTAGCATTACAAATGTTCTATTTGAACAATCAATCAAAATAGGTTTTGGTTGTTCCACACCTACTTACCTCTCACTACCCCCACACCCCCCCCCCCCCACCCCCATTTACTCCTCCTCCTCCTCATCTTCTTTTTATCCCTCTCATTATCATCATCACCTTATACCACCCACCATCACCACTTCCACCACCACTGTCACAACCAAATAATCCCTCCACCACCACCACAAACATCCCCCCCCCAATCACCACCATCCCCAGTACCACCACTACTATCACCATCGATTAACAGAACTTCATCTCACCTCTATTTCATCCCTCATCTCCTTCTCTGTGAGAAAGCATCTCTTCTGCATCTGTCCCACGGCAACCTCTGCATCTTTCTGCACATACTTGCCCTCCATGCTGGTCTTAGCCTTCATCTCCTGCAGCTGATCTGGAATTATAATTTACATCAGAAATTATTCAGGTGTTAAACTGGCCCAGCCCCCCACTCCGGGAATGGAGGGATACCATGCATGTTCCCAAAATCTCCATCTCGTAACAAAAGAAAAAGGTCTACCCGTATTGACTTTACACACCGGAATTATGCTGAAAAGGGGGGGGGGTGCTGAAAAGGCTTGTATACAAAGGAAAAAGGTCTACCTATATTGACTTTACACACCAGACTTTTGCTGAAAGGGGGGGGGGGGGTGCTGGGAACACGCATATGCATACCCTAAATAACACTGAGTGGGTGGGTGGGGGCGGGGCCGGGTCAAACCGGTCACCTTTTCTTCTTGAAATTGACAATATTTTTTAAGCTTAACATGTTGCTCAGACTAGAACCTTAAATGGGACTAGCACTTAATGTGATTCTAAAGTCTGAAGTGCAATTTAACAAACCATCTCCAGATCGACCAGCAACGGTAGATTCTTATCTTTCTTTTCCAATGCCCCCAATTAACATTCCATGCCAGGCTCAGCCCCACCCCCTGCAATTCTTAACCATTGCAGTTACCCCCTGTAGTGCAAATGGATTTTGTTTCATTTACCCCCATAAAACTTAAAAATCACCCCATGAGAAAATGTGTGTGTGTGTTTGATCATCATGGGTCCCTTTATAAAAACATATAATAACCCCATGGGATCATTACCCCCTCCAGCTTAAGAACAACTACCCGTAGTCAAGGGATGATCAGCATTTCAAGATCTAACTCACCTTTCAAATGGGCAATCATCTGATTCCGCTGCTGTGTCTCCTCCTCTCTTTCTACTCGCACCGTGGAAATCTGTTTCTGCAGTGATCGGATTTTCTTACGACCTTCTTCTTCCCTGATAAAAAATTAACATTTAGACATTGAAATTAGTAAACTGCACATATACACATAGAATGCACTATGAACATGACAGACAATGAAAGCGGACAAAATATACAGTTCCTCAGGTAAACAAAGGGACATCCCTTCACTGCTATTATGTAAAAATGTGTAGAACAGGTGTCACATGCATATTCACCTGTTCTACACATTTTTACATAATAGCAGTGAAGGGATGTTTCTTTGTCTACCTGAGGGACTGTATATTTTGTCCGCTTTCATTGTCTGTCATGTTCATAGTGATGACATCCAAAATACAGTATATTTTCCTACATGTACACATAATGTTCACTTCCTACTGAAGAAAACCTAGAAAGTACCTCTTCAATAAAAATTACTCAATACATAGGAGGCCTAAGGGTTTGTAATTTTGCAATGAAAATAATATAAAACAAAAAATTGGGGTTGTATATTAATCCTCACTAAAAATGAAGCAATGAAGCACAACAAAAAAGTTTTAAAAATCGTTAGATTGACTTACTTGAGAATGGTGTTCTGAAGCTCCGCTTTTTTATTTTTCTCCATGGTAACAGACTGGATGAGGGCAGTAAACATCTTCTCTCGATTCATCTCATCCAACGTTGCACTTAGGACATCTTGAAGGAATTGTCTATGAGACAGAACGTCAATACAATCATTAATGTGAATTATAAGATGATGACGTGGATCCTAATCAAATGATTTGTTGAAAGCGTACACGTGACCAAGCATTTATTTTGACTAATGCGTCATCATGTTATAACACATTATTTTATTAAACAAATAAAACATAATCTTATAAAACAATACACAGCATTTTGTTCGGGGATTAGTCAAATTACCCACACTCGGTACCTTAGAAACAGTCCAAACACCCTTGGCTACCGCCTCAGGCGTGTTTGATTGTTCCAAGGGTACCTTGTGTGAACAGGAGTGAATAGGAAAAAAAATGATTTGAGAGTAAAGGGATGGAAGACACATGGGAGATAATAATGACCTAACTCTCAACACAATGTAGTGTTGGTAAACAGTTGATAAAAGAAAATCAAACAGATTCCACTTCTTCAAACATCTTTTAGGGTAAAATACATCTATTAGCATCTATCCATCCAATAAGTATTTTTTGTGAAAAAAAATAATCATAATTTTGTCTTACCTGTCATCCTGCATCTTATAAAGATTATCAGAGGTCAACGGACTCTGCTTCAGACTCTTGGCAAAGGTTTGATTGGCAGTCCGGAGGTTGCCCACGACGGACCCGATCTCCTGGTTGTTGTCCTGCAGACGACGTGCATCTCGCTTTGGCCCTGCCCTAAGGTCGGTCCTCTGCTGCATCAGATTCTCATACTTCGACTCCAGGTTCTTTTGGCTGTCCAGGATCTGGCTAATCTCATCTCCAACCATCTAATTATTCATAATTGAAAGTTAAGATGGTTGTTGATTAATGGAAACTGATAATAAAAATTATATTTCAATTTCTATTGTCACTTTTTGAAACACTTTGACTATACATGTAGGTTCTTTTGACTGTCAAGAATCCGGCTAATTTCATCTCCAACCAAACTGATTATCAATATTTGACACTCAACATGTTAGTTAATTGATGGAAAATATAACATTAGCATTCAATATCTATCAACTACACTTCATTAAAAAAAAATACAAATCTAAAATTGTGTATAAAAGGCTATGTCAGAACTGTATTGTTTAAAATGAATTATTTTAATATTTCTGTACAATTATGTACAAAAAACACATATGCATGTTAATTAAAAGAGAACAATTAAAAGAGAGAGAGAGGGGGATAGAGGGGGAGAGGGGGAGGGGGAGAGAGGGGGAGGGAGAGAGAAAGAGAGAGAGAGAGAGAGAGGGGGTGGAGAGGAAGGGGTAGGGGGAGACAGATCTAAATGGTATACAGTTGGCAAAATCATTATCAAGCATTGCTCTTAAGACAATCTAATATTTGTGAATGACATGTACATTATACATCATGGAGTCCAGATCACCTTTCAAAAGCTTTTAAAATCTAATTTATAATCTACCTCATTTGCATCCTGCCTTCCTTCGAAAGTTGAGGGCATGATCTTCCCCAGCACCGCTAGCTGATCTACTGTGTCAGCTAGCACGGTGCTGAGGTACACCGAATCAAGAGATGTAAGCTCCGACATCTCGTCTCCCTTCTTCTGCTTCTCTGGTCTTTGGAAGTTTGTTTCTCGTCAGACTCTATCGTGGAACAATTGAAAGTACAGGCAAGCAATTAACTGGTGAGTATTTTTCTCTGCATTAGAATCACTCGCAAGGTTGCAAGGTTCTCTCATGGATACTACTTCTGCACAGTGCAAAGCAACTTCTTACTAGTTTGCACTAAAATTATATGTCTCAGATCCTCATTACGGTAGATAACTTCACACAGGAGCGCCCCACCCGCAACCCACCATCGGTAGTATGCTGCTGCATTTGTATTGTGCAGCAGTTTGCCGTGAAACCTGTTAAAAAGTGTATACTAATATCATCGTCTTCCCGAAAAATACTCCAAAAATAACAAGAAAATTGACACGAAACAGGTAATATGACGACTTTTAACTCATGATCTTCATTTGGACATTTAATGAATATTTACTTCATTTTGGGTATGTTTTAGTAAGGTATCTCCACGCAAAATACAACTCTGTGTTATATCTGTTAAAAATCTTGCAACCGTATTTTATTTTAAACTGAGTGTCAGAGTCAAACAGCTCACGAAACGAAAGACGTCGAAAGATGACGTCATTCGTGAGCAGCTAGCACAAAACAGGTCTACTGATCAAAGACCTAACAGTGTTGTATAACCCAACTTAAACAAACATACAAACAATCATAAGAATTCACAAAGACAAAGTCAGTTCAATCCCTAACAGTATCAGGGAATAATTTTCCTGGTATCGCATCGCAATTTGCTATGCATTTTTGCATGACTGCTATACAAAATATCTTTTGTGTAGCAGTTTTCTTCCATAGAAATGTACAGAATTTCATTTGAAATATTTATCCATCGGCTGAAATTGCTAATCAAAAAATTTGAGGAAAATTATTCCCTGAGTATAGTAATCACTCCCAAGCATCGAGCATGAGCACTAGATCTGCACTACCGTACGGGTACGGATAAGAGCGGAGCCTGTGAGCTGATGGGCCGGTAGGAGCGGCAAAGCTGCCCTCCCGATCCCGCACCAACGAAGTGCTGGCGAACTGTGTCTAGCTCCATTCCATGTACCTCAAAAACGTAAAGCTCTTTGAATTATAGATATTCTTCAGGAATAATACAAAGAATAGAGTCTATGTGCTACCATCTTTTCAGAACTTACATATTTTTTCCAACAGCAACACCATGAAATATGGGAAGTTTTTCGAGGATGTGCGACTGCTTCTGCTTGTTTACGTTGTATCTAAGCTCGTTCAGCGCTTGGCTCGATCAGTACGATTGATGTTCAACTAAAATTTTACAAAAAATAAAATATAATTGTTATAATTTTGCTTACAAGAATATTTTAATACACAATTTATAATATTTTGTACAAGGCTAGAATAGTGTACATGGTAAAAAAAGGGTATGTTAATAACTGAAATATACTATATCTAATCCTTAAAAAATCCTTTTCCCTTAATTTCTCATCAGAAGTGGTAATGCTTACTTTGTTATGAAAAATTTACAGGCTTACATTCAAATAACAATGCATCAAACGTACATGGGATTAATTATTCTAGATAGCTATGTTATTTTTCTTTACTATTAAATGTTTCTTAAGTTTTGATGGCTTATTGAAAAGTAGATTTTGCCCGATTCTGCGGAGGCACATCGCCCATCTCCCCATGAACGAATTTTCATGTAGCGCCCGTACTATACTGTATGTAGATTAGCATGCAATGCAATGTAGCAGTCGACACGTAATATATCTGCACCAAACGGTGGATTGATGAAACCTCCCTTTTTGTTGATACGATGAGGCGTGTTAATTGATGTGATATCGTACATGTCTTGGTAATAATGGTGAAGAAAGGCTTTCTCCTGTCACAATTAATTGGCAATGCTGATGGTGATGGTTGAGAATGAGAGCCAGGCTAACGCCAAGCCAGGCTGGCATGTGTGAGAGTGAGACGGTGTCGGTGAGGGCAAATTCAATTCTTGCTCCCCAACTTGATTTTAAGGGTGTTTTCATTTGCTGCACCACTTCTTTCTGACCCACTCTTTTCCCATTCATTTTCTACACAGGCGTTTTCATGATTGGCTTTTTGGCTAGCGAATATTCATGACGTGAGCGCGGTCATCTTTCATTTTGTCGCGCTTAAAATCTGCAATTTTAACATCCTCTCTTTACAAATCCACAATTGATAATAAATCTCTGTTCCCCCTCTCAGCGTGCACATCCTTAAAGTGTTGTAATCGATGCGCTTCTAATTTACACTTTAGTTATTTTCTTTTGAAATCTTCCGCCGATATGTAACAACTGTAGACCTACTGTAGGCTAGGCCCAAACTTAAGTCATGAATCCACCAATGCTACTGTTAGGGTGTCTGATCGCGCACCCGATGTTGTGTGCTAAAATTCTTCCCATAGAGATTACACGCATCCCTATGCAGTCTACGTGCATTGCGCGACCATGCAAAAAAAGTCAATTTTTTTTTTTCAATTCGAGATTCAAACCTTTATCTGTTGTGATCCTGAAGGTGATAATCAATAAATGAGATGTCATATGAAAGAGCAGGTAAATTCCAATATTTCTAAAGGGGCGTAGCCCCCGAAATTCTAAAAATATCTTGGTCAAAACAGCAATTGAAACATTGTGTCCTGGCTAACTCTGAGGTTTGTCACTTTTGAGATATGACGCCCCGATCGATAAGTAGTCCCAGTCCTAAGGAACAATTCTATGTGCTTATATTTTCGCTAGCCCCCAGGGATCACAACTGATAACAGTTTAAAAATACCCTTCTCGCTATTTGGTGAATCAGCTAATTAGGGGGCGTGCGCTCCGCTCAGTCCAAACCATGGTTACATCGCGTAACATCTCCGCGCACGAACGAAACCCCAAATTCAAGTATGGGTGGCCATTCGCGGCATAGAACCCGGAAGTGAATACACGTTATAGTCAATGGCAATATCGCGGAGACATCTCCGCGATATTGCCATTGACTATAACGTGCATTCACTTCCGGGTTTATTGTGCGACGAACGCCAACCATACTAGTCAATGGCACATGTCGCGGAGACAGCGTAGCTCAAGCTGCAAGTCGCGGATTGGCTTAGCAGCATGCGTACGATATGCATACGCTTGCATATCGCGCGATACAGCTGTTTGGCTAAATTTAGCAAAACAACATCACTCTGCGTAGACGTCTTTTTCGTCGATTTTGACCAAAATGATATGAATATACCAGCGTTTTGGAGGGGCTGTAACTTTTGATAGAAACATCGGTGAGACTTGAAATTTGAAATGTATTATTCTGATAACATCTTTTATTCAAATATCAAACAAAAATGGTGAAAAACGATCCCAAATTGAAAATTGAAAAATCGTTCAGACACCCTACTACTGTTTACAAATAAATCTTGATTTATTTAAAACAAAACAAAACGGTTCAATAGATATCACGAGTTGTATGAAAATAGAGTAAAGGAGGGGGTTTTCAGCTAAATGTCCAAGAATCAGTTGGTATGAAATCTATTTTGAATCAGTTTGGCGGTATGACTGAGATATAAGATGAAATGTCTTCAACTACAAGTAGCTTGTTGCCCCAGTGTTGCTGGCCACTGCTTTCAATCAGTGATATCAGTGTCAGAGTGGGCATACAGTAATTTTCTTCCATGTCTTTCTCAATATACTGGATATCCTGATATTCAGTCTGAGGGATAGGAGGTACAATTTAATATATGAGATGAAGAAATACCCAACCCCAACATTCTGATCAAAAACAATAATACCATCATGCGGGCGGGTGCGTATGGATAACGCGGATGTACTTGTATTGTGCAGCGGTTTGCAGTGAAACATGTAAGAAAATTGTATTTCAATGTCTTTGTTTTTAGGAAAAATACTCAAAACAGATAGGAAAATTTACACAAAACAGGTCAGAAAGATACCAACTTTGAAATCATGACCATTATTTGAACAATTGTTGATTTTGTGTTTGTTATACTTGTGTTTAGTAGGGTACTCTCCACACGTGAGTCATGGGTAGCTAGTCGGGTAGGCTGCCGGCCCCAGAGTATAGGCACACTTGTAAACTAGCGCCAACTCTCTATTTTTGTTCAAACAGTAACAATAAACAGACTTCCATTGTTTGATTTAAGAGTCAAAATATGTCTGGAATGAGAGCTATGAAATTGGATCTGTCTTGAGTGTCTGCAAACCCTAACATTTTCTCAAAGCATTTTAATCTTAGATAGTTGTTGTTGCTGTGTTGTTGTTGTTTTTTTTTTGAGCCATGGTAACCCCTTCGGAGCAAATGTACATACCGGTATATTAAAACAAAAGTAAATTTGACAATTGGTATGCACAGAGGGTGACTCTCCCAAACACATTCAGGCTTTCAAAAGTCTTAACAATTTAGCACTTGTAGATGCACTTTCATAAATGGAAAAGAGTTGACCAACTTTGCTGCGCACATCTACTGTCAACTGCTTGCTGAGTTTGGTCCAAACTTACCAAATACCAATCAGCAAGAAACCAATGTGATACAAAGTCAGAAGCGGGACAAATGCAATTGTTTTCTGGTTTGGGACATCTATTTGTCAAATGCATGCAACTGTTTCTTTTTTTTTTTTTACAATCTCGTCAATGTAGGATGTTGTTTTTGATAACAGTATTTTTGTTCCTTTTATAGAGTTGGTGGTTGGAGCTGGCAAGATGGTAGCATCCAAAAGGTCAGAATCTATATTTCAAATTTTTCATTCATGCACTTACAACCAAAGTTTAATTCTTTGGTAATCAAATATTACCAAAGAAAGTGCTACAGAATTGTCAGCTAGCAGGTGTGGCAACTTGTATCAAATATCAGGAAGCAGATTATTAGTTTGCTTTAATTAGTTTTGAAGAAGTGTCTCTTGGGTTTATCAGAGATAGCATGTACCCCTGGAACCATGTGTTCTATGAACATTAATTAACTTTCAATGAATGTTATCTGCTCTATCCAAACATTGTCAAATGCAGGGTGGTAATAGGTTACTGTGTTCTTGGGCAGATGTAGCAAATTGTAGATATAGTTAACATTTTTGAATAATTGCACTTATTGTATCCAGTTCAATACAAAACAAAGGCTATTTTGCGGGGTAGTTATCACAAGTTATCAAGGCATTTAAAAGTTTGAGCAACTGGAATGTAATCCAATTTTACACTTTATGTAACCCGGTCTATCTACAACACAGGTTATACTCTAGGGCCGTTTTCACAGGTTACAGGAGAGGTCTCCGCAACCAGAAGGAGAACCAGGCTCTCCTCAAGCTAGAGGGAGTAGAGTCCAGGAGGGAAGCCACATGGTACCTCGGCAAGAAAGTTGCCTACGTCTACAAGTGCAAGAAGTAAGTGAGATAAAGATGACAGGGTGTAGACAAAGTCATGAGGGATATTCAGGCCTGATAATTACCTGATTTAAATCGGTTTCCCGATTCCCCCAGTAACCCTTACACTAACCATGACCCTACAGCCTGTCCCTAATCATAACCTGTATCTATTTTACCGATGTGGGAATTCTGCAGTCAAGCCCTAAAGTACTTACACAAATTTAATCAATTTTTCATAGCAAAATGTGTTAGTCCTGTTTTATCTTCTAATCTTTCTCCTCCACTTGCTGCTAGACCCAAGTGTCTTAATAAGCCAACCAATTTTTGTCCTAATACACTACTGTTGCTTGCTCCGGTATTCAGCAGTCAAGCCAAAAGGGTGACCTGAATTTGATCGATTACCCAAGTAAAAGTTAGAGTTGACAGTCATATTAATTCCATGTCCCCTTTTGATCCAACTTCAGCAAGGCATTCTCCTAATGCCTCGTGGGGTACGTATTCTGCAGTTGAGCCCAAAGACAAAACAAAATATAAATGTCATGTGACAACAGACCAGTTCACGGTTAGCACATGGCTGCAATGACCTGAATATCCACAGATCTTCAAAACTTGAAGAGGTCCCATTTTGTACATTTTGAAATAATCAATCCTACAGCGATGGAGGTGCTATATAAATAGCCTTTGTTTCCCCTTTTCAAAGAATACTTACACCTGTGTATCATGGAGTGCACTGCTTGTGCATGAATGGATAATGATTACATAACTTTCATGAGCGCGTATCCAGTATTTCGTCTCTGTGTATTTCACAATTTGGTCTGCAATGACCTTTATCTGCTCATGCTCAGACTGCGCTGTGAACTGGCTTATTTGTTATTGCCTTTGTTTTGATTAACTTGCAGCAAGACGAAGTGCCCCGGCAAGGACAAGCCAACCAACACCCGTGTGATCTGGGGTAAGATCATCAAGACTCACGGTAAGAGTGGAGGATGCAGAGCCAAGTTCAAGAGCAACCTCCCTGGACAGGCTATGGGCAAGAGGATTAGGGTGGTAAGTAGCCGTAACTAAGACACACTAGGGCAAGTCAGAGATATTTTGTCCTGTACGTAAAGCCTCGGTCACAAATGCCATTACAAACAATTTTCAGACCATGGAAAAACGGAGATTCGTGTACAAGCCTTTGTGACCGTAGCATTACCAACATCATAGTTGACGATTAACCATGCATCAGGTCTTTCGTCTTCTTTGAGCATGGCTGATCGTTAACGAAACTGAGTTTTAAGTCTTTTGTCAACTCTGTATGTTGCTACGGCAGGCAGCCAGTGAAAACGAATTTGTTTAATCAAAATGTGGAAATGCAAGCATTACTTTAAAAAAACAGAACTTTGTTATTCCTGGCTGATTTTTCCTGATTGAGGTGTCTTATGAAAGGGCAGAAAATGAACTTTCTAGAAATGTGATTTCTCTTTGAAATTCAGATACCATCTGCCAAATGACTTTTTGGTACCCTCTCTTCAAATTGTTTTTAATCATTCTTGCATGAAATATGCATCATATGAATTGAATCAAATCAAAATGGATCTGAGCTTTACAAATACGTGTCATTTATTAATTATAATTGGGATTATGTTATGATCAAATATTGATAATTCTCGGTTTCGTTTTTTCTGGGACGCACTGTATATGTCGCACATATTGTGGTTGCTCTTGACGAGACTAACAGACCGTACAAGAATTACATTACCATGAATGTCCAAGAATCAGTTAGTATGGAATCCATTTTGAGTCGGTTTGGCGGTATGACTGAGGTATAAGCTAAAATGTACAGTCTTCAACTACAAGTAGCTTGCCCCAGTGTTGCTGGCCACTGCTTTCAATCAGTGATATCAGTGTCAGAGTGGGCATACAGTAATTTTCTTCCATGTCTTTCTCAATATACTGGATATCATGATATTCAGTCTGATGGATAGGAGGTACAATTTAATATACAAGAGGAAGAAATACCCAACCCCCAACATTCTGATCAGAGGCAATAAAGCCCTGCAGTGCCCCAGAGATGACAACCCTTCCAGATTTTTAAAATATTTGTTATACATCACTCCACACATATGTTAATGCCTCCCTGAATTTTTGAAAGGTTATTCCAATAATGCTGTATGCAGTTGATAAAAACCTCCCTGATTTCTGAATGAATCCTCCCTGAATGTAGATGATGGCATATGCTGCATTTCATCAAAGATAATATTGATAGAATCAGGTTAGGATTGCAGTCTGCTTCAGTTGTATAGTGTTTGCAGCTAAAGTAGCAAATCATGGATAGCCACGCAAGGGCATCATCCAACCTGTTATTCGTTGAAGAATGACCCAAAGCTCAAAGTTATGAAAACATTAATTTATTTCCTTTCATCTCCCTCTCTCCCTCTCCCTCTCTCTCTCTCTCTCCCTCCTACAGATGCTGTACCCTTCCCAGATCTAAGTCAACCATCGTCAGTGTATAGTATCTGCATCAACATGTAATAAAAATCTTATGTGCTGGTGAAATACTTGACTGCCTGTGTTTGGTTTGTATTATAGTTGTCTGTAGTTTCCAGAGAAGTTGAGAAGAAAACAGGTGAAGTTTTGTGACGGACAGTGTAGGATTTCTCTCCCTCTTTGCTAGAAGATAAAAAGGAAGATTAATTTCCTTCTTTTCTAGAAATCGATCAAACTTTTTTCCCTCCAGGCAGATTGGCGCACTCAAGTCAACTTGTGTTTTTAAAAATATGTTAAATGAAACTCAAAGAAATATATGCAACAATTTGCTTCTTTGAACTTTTGTTAATTTGTTTTGGTTACGATACTGCTATGGAAAAACACATGTATAAAGATTCCCAAAAAATCTGGAGCATCCATTTTTACCAGTAAAATACAGGAGAGGAAGGTAAAGAAATCCTATTAGATTTGTGAAAGTGATGTGTGAACAGGTTTTCATAGCAAGGTAATTTTCTTAAAGATGAAGTGAGTTCTGGTCATGCGATTGCATTGTGAAAGAAACAGTGTGGAGTCGATCGGGGGGGGGGGGGGGGGGGGGGTTCATTGTTCCTGATTTTGCATGGAAAAAGAGGCCTGGATGGAATGGACAGGTTTACTAACATATTCAAATTTGATGCATACTTCTAAAAGAAAGCTCTTTCTAGACAACCTGAAAGCTTGCCCGACATAGCAACATGTAATAGGGACTTTTAGATATGCATGACAAGAACGTGTGACATCCTTGTAAGGCACTGGCAGAGACTTGAAAGGACTTCACATTGCCTTAAAACGATGTCACCGACACATAGCAGTCCACGTTCTTGTCGTGCTAATCTAAAAGTCCCTATTGTATGCATGCCCAATCCCAAGTATATTAGTTCGTTCATGAATATCGGGTTAGTGAAGTAACTCATCGCTAGGTCCCCAGGAAAGAAACATCCCTAAATTTGAATATGATAGTAAACCGGCCTGTTCCATGAAGTTTCCAAGTTTTGCCCATTTTTCTGTTTCTTTGAGCTTTTATTTTATTTTTTTCTTCTTCCAGTGCTTCTTGGTCTACACATCCAATTCTTGCAGTAACTTTTATCTCTCCTCTGCTCTCTTGCTCTATCCTTTTCCCTACTTCTTATTTCTCTCCTTTACTATTCTCATTACCTCTCCTCTCTCTCTCTCTCACACTTTCACACTGTCTCTCTATCAATGTGATCTTTTGACTTTTGGTCTGTCACTTCATCTCTTCATATTCTTATTCTTGCTCTCTTACTGGGGTTCTATTCTCTCCTTGTACCATTCTTATTACCTCTCTTTCCCAGACACACACTGTCTTTCTATCACGTAATCTCTTTGTATTCTTATTCTTGCTATCTCTCATCCATGGTTCCATACAGGGGGTGTTTCACAAAGATCCTAAGTTGGACTTGTCAATTATGGAAAGCCATTGGCATTTTTGAAATTTTTTAAAAAAGGCATAAAATGTTGATTCAAATCATTCATATTTTCTATTATCAAGGTGATTTCATTTCCTTGATAAGGAATTTATGAAAAGTCTAAAATACTTCAACTTTTGCTTTGAATATATTTCATTTTAAGGCTACAAATGGCTCTCCATAATGTTTAAGTCCAACTCAAGTCCCCCCCCCCCCCTCCCAGTACTATCTTCCTTATAAAAAGAGGTCATGTCGTACAGTTGTAGGCCTTAAAACACAAGGAAATCACCTTGAGAAGAAATGTGCGCAGGGCCCTGCTTCACAAAACTTGTTATCAATAACAAATGCTAACATTTCTATGGCAAGAATGCTCTCGGCCAATCAAATGCCACAATTTCAGTAGCTAATGACACTTTTTGTTACAGTTATTGTAACTTGGTTATAACAAGTTTTATGAAACGGGGGCCCAGAAGTGCATTGAAAGAATGTATGTGAAGGTGCTGTTGAAGAAGTAAGTGTGCCAACATGGGGGCCAGTTTCTTTAAACTGCAGGAAGGGTTAAGTTCACCAACATCCCATTGAAATGCATTTCAATGGGACGTCATTGAACTTGTACTTCAACTTGACAGTTTAGTGAAACAATGCCCTGGTTCTTGGTGATTTGATGACTGGTGTGAAAGAAATTATGCATGCGATCACATGAACATAAAGATAATACTGTTATATCCAGAAACTTTTGCAACATGGCATTTTTGTAATTTGTATAGAGTACCGAAGCTGCGACGTCATAAAAATCTATTTTTAGAATTTCTCAATTTTTCTTCATTTTCCGAAAGAGCATCAAAAATAATGTCGAAAATCAATTTAATATCTTAAGTATTGGCTGAGATATGACCATCTGAATAAATATATGTCCTATGGGAACTCAGTGTTATATGCTCTGGCTCCTAACCATTAGGATTTTTGATGACGTCACACTTCACCACTCTATAAGACGGCCACCTCACAGTGCAAACTTGAGGGAATCAACAACAAAAAAAGCATCATCCAAACTATCAAATTAATTGACAACATGAAATGATAACTTCCACAAATCTAAAGCACTTTCAAATTTATGAACATCTCATGCATGTAAAATGTTCTGGTTTTACAGTAACACCCGGTACAGACAAAAAAACAAATGAGAACAATACTAGTATACCTGGTTTTGTTTATTACTAAATACCCAAACAATAAGCCAGACCAACATTTTGCTCAAAATAACATTGACCTTTACAGGTTGCACTTGAACAATTCAATAAAACATAATTAGCGTCATTGTCAAATATTACATTACTGACATTCCCTCAATTACAAAATTAATTATTAAAATTTCATTAACATTTTAAAAGAAAGATGACAAAAATAACTTATGCCCACTGCACACTACCGGTATTCATCATATGACAAAATTTGGGGAGAGTGGTTAATGGATTATGAAGAAGATCAAATTTGTGGAAAGCTTTGGTTGTAGATGCTTCAAATTGACATCTTTTCAAAACGAATTAAATTTAATTTGCACACATTTAATAATAATAATAATAATAATAATAGCCTAATAGTCCACTCCAAATTTTATTAAACCGAAACAGAAATTCTTTTTGCCAAATTGTAGATAGTAAATGCCTTATCGACTCCAAATCCAAACCAACTCGAGCAGGTCCTATGATTGTGCTCAGTGACCAATTGGTCCATTTTGTCAGACTACATGGCCTGTAAAATCTAATTTTTAAAAAACTATACAAAATTTTGTGTCTTTACCAAAAAAATTGTTTATTAGAACCTGTAGTGTGCAGTGGGCACCTAATAATCAACCTAAAACATTACTCAGATAAATGTTAGACTTGCAAGAGATGAAGATAAAATATATTTCAGTTTAGTATAGATTCTAGCACAAAATTATATCCCAAATTGTAATAACACTATACATAAAGAGTATTGGATCTAACAATCCGATTATGCAAACTGAGTATAAATTGCTAATGATGCCCCTATAAAAAAATCCATTGAAACATCTCCCAGACAGAAGTCAAATGATGGAAACTTCAGATTTTCTAAGTATACACTTCACTAGAATTTAATCCTTGACTTGCGATTTAGTCATACATACAGTAGAATAATGAAAGAATTTTAATTTGTCATAACTATGGGAAGAAATTTTCATAAATTGAAAAGAGCATGCAAAAACTTAAAGGCAAATTGTTTTCTAGAAACTGCTTCTATGCATAGACGTAGAAGAAAATGCTCAATGATAACTACTTGAAGGAAAATAATAACTTGAAATTAAGTTTGATACAAGCCAATTCTGCAGGGAATCAACAGAATATATTGCAACCTCTGAATGAAAATGCGAGTTGCAAGTAATATACAATGAGCTGTAGCAAATATACTAGCATCAACAAAGTTGAGTTCTGGTCATGCAATTGCATTGTGAAAGAAATGGTGTGGAATCGATCAGAAAATGTTGATCATGTAGCATGTAAGTATTGGCGTGTACTGCAAGGTTCTGGAATCTTCAAAATGATAAGAAATTTGGCCCAGTCTTGGTAAAGTTACAAGCACTGTACACAGAAAGATGTACATGGGGCTACACAAACGTGTGGCATAAACATCTGTCCCAATTTTTAAGTTGTTACACCATATATAGCGTATGAAAGCTTTTGAATGAGAGGCTTGCTTTTCAGGGAACAATTTTTGTCTGATGTTTTTCCACACTTGCATAATAACAATAATAATAATAATAATATCCCGTACTTATAATAACACTCGCAAATTATTTTTCACCTCTTCCAAGAACTCGACCTTCATGGAATGAATATACACACATGTATTTACAGTTGACATGGAATGCGTAGACATAGATCAATGTAGTACCGTACTTTCAAATTGGCAACAAAACGCATGTAAAATAACTCTAGCTGAATGAATATTGTAGCTTTATTCTTTTCACATTTTCCCCCTCAAGCATGTCAAGTAAGTATCCATGAATATTGGAAATGGTAACTTCCATGATATGAAGTTGTTAAAACATAAACACAAATGTGCAGGAAATTCTTTTTGAAAAAGGGGCACCAATCCTCCAAATATCAATATGCTATTATTAGTTTCTGACAATGATACATGATACAGCCCTAAATCCCAACATAAATGAAATTATACAAAGACCATTCTGAATCAGATAAGTTAGAAAATATATTGAAATCACTTACACCCTTACATCCTTTGTTTTAAAACAATCTGAAAGAAAACAAACATTACATAATCAAGTGTTTCATACAATATTTCAATCATTTCCATTGCCCGGCACTTTTTTACATTTTTGAAATCATTGCATTACATAACATAACATGATCGATTGCAAAATTATGAACATTTCTGCACTGATTATTAAAAGTACATATGATTAGTGTATTTTACTTAAAGCCCCACTGCACTATGTGTAGCTTTTTGCTCCCTCTATATAGAAAACAATGCCTAAGCAGCGCCCGTTGGTCCCCCATGATCCTCTTTTTCATATGTTAATTAATTGAGAGCTGAGTTGATGAGATAACCACCTGTCTGTGACCTGGCTGGGAGGTCTAAACCCTCTTGTCTAAACCAGTGCAGTCGGGCTTTAATAAAAGAAATACACCCTCAAAATGTTCTTACTCCTACTTAAACGTGACAATGTTCGGAGTGATTTCTTTATGCACCCCTAACCACATTGTAAACCAAATAAGAGGTTTCAACAGAAACAAGAATCTTCTGGACTAACAAAAGAATACAAAAAATCCTTCATAAAAATGAACAGCCATAAAGCAACTTTTTTATGACTTTCCAAAATGTTCATAAAAATGACACATGAGCACATACTGTAGCCATAACTTGTGTGCATTTACAGACAACAGATTTCCACTACATGAAGAATATTGAAAGTCTGAAAAAAGTGAACATTCATTAATGTGTATGGAAATAGATAAAATATCTGTTATATCTGTACATATATATATCTACATGTGGGAGTATAGTACATCTTCTGGTTACTTAAGCAAACAAACAATAACCGTAAAGACCCCCAAAAACAAAATAAAGCTGCATAATTATGTCAAATGACAAAATATTAGAAAGACAGAACAAAAGTAACAACATAAATGTGTGAATAAACTGATAAAATTGGAGAACTATAATGGCCCAACCATTCAAATTTTACCCAACTGCTGTGCATTTGATTGAAATATATAGAAATACACAAGAATTGTTTGAAATCTGATTATTTTCATGTACAATGTTGTCATATTCCTCGGAAGATCGTACCTTGTCTTGTATACTACCGGCATAATATGCATGATGCCTTGACCTTTTCTACTTCTATTAAAATCTTTGAATCTGTTTTGCCACCTATTTTTCCTTTAAAATTTTCTTCAATCTATCTTTGGAATACCCATTGTCTTTTTTGACCTCTTTCTTTGTCTGTTTTCCTTTATCTTATAAATATCCCTGAAAGTTTGTGGTTTCTTAAGAGTGTAAGTGTTAGATAAGCTTTCCCTCTTCACCTCGAGATTAGTTTCTATTACCAGGATGTGCTACCCGCAGTTTCCTGTCGAGCCTGTGGTTATACATGACCTATAGTTTTTCACTTTCGTCCAAGCAATCAACAATATCCAAACATCCGGGAGAGTTTAAAACAAAAAACATTTCCCAAACATCCTTGAAGTGATTCCTGTCTGTCTACGTGATACTAAACATGCTCCAGATCCTTATACACCAATAATATCGTCCTTGTTTTCACGAAGTGACGGTAGTGAGGAAAATCGTCATGCAAAGTGAATGCAATTTCTTTTCACTACCGTCACTTCGTGAAAACAGCGACGATATGCCAGAGAGTCTAGTTTGTCTTCAAATTTACTGTGCAAGTGTCATATTGTACAAATTACCAAACAATATAAAGGGAAAGCAGAATAGTGTACTGTAAACAAGCAAATGATATTGCCTTTGATAAAGAGGACTTTAAGTTGGGAATATTACCATAATCTGACGTTTTTAATCATTTATAATCCCAAGTACTAAAGCTTCCATCTATTCCTGTAGCCGGATTTTCTTAAAGCCAAGTAATTCCTCACACAGTCTCTTGCTGTCTGCTACCTAAGATCACTAGGAGGAAAGCAGATGACAGAATATCCAAAATCCCTATGCAGTGAAGGATTAATCCTTTAATCCAGATAGATTCCTTCACCTTTGTTAGCCAGAAATGTTTTTCTGGCCATTGCTGTGGTTAAATTGCTTATCATAATTCACAATACCCTCAACGAAACTAGTACTAAACGAAACCCAACCTTCTGAATAAACAAATCAAGAACAAATACTACTCTTTAAACAGGAACCCCCTAGAATATCTCACCTCAAAGTTAAAATCTTTAAGAATCCTTCAACAGCATTTATCACTCAATCACCAGGGTAACATATTTGTTTATGATATCCTTGTTTCATATTCCTCTTTCTCTCACTCGGAAGTATGCCAAACCTTTCCCCTAAACCCAGATGCCTTGTTAGATTACCATGAACTCATGACTCATTTTGCCATGGTTTCCTTCTATTTATGCTCACATTTCCTACATCTTAGTTGGCAAAGCATTTAATATGTTAACTGAAACTGAATTCTTCAAGTATCGATTGTAATAATATAAGGTAGGGCAGAGGATAGCCAACACTTCCCCTTCAAATCAACAATGTACATTTTTTTTCGAGAATTTCTATAGTTGAAGTGTCATAAATCCATTTTAAAAGTATAGATTAAAAAAACCTACAGTTTTAAGCACGAAAACATATCGGTAAATAAGCTGCAATCTGCATTTGATGTACCATTTCTTTGACCTATGCACAAGTGCATGAAAAAGACTTTAACCTTGTTTCTTCTTCAAACTGATCACAATATACACCATGATTAAAACCAGAAAGACGCTTACTCACTTTGTTAATAAACATATACGAGAAGAAGGACATTCATTAGAGTTATAACATTTAGCATCTTTGGGTCAACTGCTTCCTGATGTAGTGAAAGTCTCACAAGAAACGATAAGAACAAAAAAATCATCATCATCATTCCTTTTGCGACATGAAGTGTGAATATCTCACACAAAACAGGAGCTAAACATTGTATCAACATTATCCATTTCAATCAAATTTGAAGTGAACACTCTTTTGGTCCCCTCAGAACCATAATACAATTGTAATACAATTTTGATGGCTCACTTTTTGTCTGTCTCTTTTCTTTTCAATCTCGTAACTTATGCTAATTCAAAGCTCTTTGCTACACACTTTTCCCAAACTGTGTGAATACACATCACTTTTGTGAACCTTTGTCAATTTGAGATGTTCATGTTGGTGTGCCACTGGATGGGATAGTAGACGGTTCGTCTGTCACCCATTCACTGGCACTCTGGCGGTACGGGGCTGTGCCAGTTAGTTCTTCTTTCCCCTACAGAACATATAACCCTCATATGTATGTGTCAAACTTCCTTCCCATAAGACTGATTGATACAGATGATAATTCAAATCTTGCACTGATATTTATAAGATCTCATGGATCTTTGCCATCTTCAGCTCTTCCTGTTGACAGGCAGTCGGGCGGGATGGTAAACAGATCAATCGTTCATCAACTGGGTGCCTCGATCTCTGACAGTCCTGTTTTCCCTACAGCACATATTAGAGTAAACAACTTCAGGGACCCGTTTCACAAAGTCTTTTTTCAATGACAAATAGTGAAAATCAGTGACAATTCTGCCGATGGCCAATCAGAAAAAAGTATTTCAGTAGCTTATAACAAAGACTGTCATTTGTCACTGATGACAAGTTTTGTGAAACACCCCCTGATCTTACTCTATCATTACATCAGCTGCTTTACATCTCGTGCTCGGCTTTATCCCTGACTCACCCACTTGGGTAGCTCTTCTATCAACTCCCTCCAACGCATCCATGATGATAGAAACTAAGCTTGTACATTTAAAACATAAATATACAACCACCGCACAATAATAAAACTGTCCCACTTCAGGGGCCTGTTGAGACATACTCAACACAAAGGTTGAAAATGATGAAAATATGGACAATATATACAGCAGAGGTCATTCCATTCTGTCCAGACAGATGATGCAAGAGTAGTTGTCTTTAAAAGAGAGGTCAAAGGTTAATCAAGAGGTCATCATGACCTCCAGTAAAGCATGTCGTCTCTTTGAGGGATCACCGCCCGATCAAACCGTGGCCAGAAAAATTTACTATCCGTGTCGACGTTGTACTCCAGCGAGTGTGCTATGTCCATCATGAGATCCTGTGGGACTTTGTCCTCCTCGATTCGCCGAACGATAACTACCTTTCCTCTGACGGAATCCACCTTGCGGGGGATGCGACTGAGGGCGAGACGGAACCTTTGCGATTCATGCTGAAGGTATTTCCAGGAGACCAAGAGGACAATAGTGGTGCTGTGGACGAGACTGAGAGCGAGGCGTTTGGTGCTTGGGCGACTGTCACGGCCGGTACCTGCGATCTCGCTCCAGAGCGTGACGTGAAGGTGGGATTCTTGATCAAGGAGCTTGGAGCGCATCATCTCAGCCAGGGTCAGGTCGGTGCCATGGTGATGGATGAAGATGTCGCAGCGATGTCGCATGATGAATGGCTGCATCTCAGCCTGCACAGGACTCACTGCAGAAAAGAAATGCAAACAATGTCAGGGTATGAAACGGATGGCTCAAGACCGAGGAACTTGGAGAGACACTCGATATAGAATTTTGATTGGGTCACTGAACCTGTCATAAACTGACAGATCACTATTGATGATGATGAAACAATGTTCAAACACTCCCACGTCTATCATCGATTGTATAATAATACTCTAACAACAGTTGCTTCAAGGTCAATAGCCTAGCTACACTAACCAATTTCTTAACCCCCCCCCCCCCCCCCATCACCAAACACTACACCTACTTGTTTGGGTTGAAAACGATAGGAATGTGAAGAATTGTGTAAACATACGTGAATGCGATTCTAAGATTGTCAATATGACGCAAAATGTATGTATTTCTGTACTATGTTAACTAAAATTGGCACAATAAAGGCCATCATTTCATGGTGCAGTATAGCCTTTGAGGTGACAAGGTACTTACTTCCGAATCCGTTAATGCCTCCATCAGATGTGAAGCTTTCATGGTTTGATCCATGTCTCGCTCTCACTCGGTGACCTTTACAACATGGCTGATTCCTGCATTCTACAAATGTCAAAAGAAAAAAAGAAAAAGAAGATTCAAAACGTAAGATAACTGATGAGCCTAAAGAACAACAGAAAAACATATAGTGTGTGATTTGGCATGCCGACCATAGCAGCTGAGAAGTCTTTTGCCTTGACATGTTGAGCCTCGTTCAGATTTGATTCGTACAATCACCTGAAGGAAAGATTGCCAAAAGAGAATAACACAAGCATAGAGAGCTTTATATTTCTGCATTATATAACACACTTCGAAGTGAGCATATGCTATTAAAGTTAGGGCCGATTTTTGTGTGCAGCTCTTTCTTTTTTATTCCCAATTACCATTCATTCGTAAACACACAATGCCGTTTTATTTTTATGCTATTTTTTGTTTACACGGTTATAACTATGTAACGTGTGAACCAGGCTAACACTTAAAGGGATCCGGTAACTTTGTCTTAGATCCTTTTGAAAAAATCCTTGATTTAGCTTATGCTGCAATGATAGTTATAAACCTTTAGGTCAGTCAGGAACCCCATGACTTTTACAAGTCGATCGCCTGTCTGATTATCAAGATATTTATGGTTGGAAATCAAAGTCAAATTTTGTGTTTGCCAAACAGTTTTCATAACACTACAGTCTATTGAGGAAAACGAGTAAGGTAAAACTGGTCACTCAAAGGATTTTACTTTTTTGAGGCACTTCTTGATCACTTTGAAGCGCAATTTTTTCAGAGCTTCAATATTACACCATATCACAGACACTGATAACACGAAGGGCCGTGCATCTCAGATTCATCATTGTTAAACGATCCCTTTAAATGGTACATGAGTCCACTTTGTATTCCTGAAAGTCCCTAAAACTAGGTAACATTTGGAAACCATAAACAACTTACTGCAGAACCAGACAACAAGTACGATGGTGACAACCGCCAGGAGAAGGATGATGATCACGGCTGCGATGACGGCTGGTGACGTGCCCTTCGATATCGGAGCAGCTGTTGTCATGGTCGCATTCATACCAGCTGCATTCACTTCCCCGGTGATACCGGACCCCTTAGGTGTCGAAGCAGTTGCTGTTTCAGGAACATCTCTACTGCTTGTTGTTGTTGTAGTTGGGTCTGGTCTATCTTTTGGTCCTGAAGTGGAGATGGAGGCATTGGAGGCAACAGTGACTGGTCCTGAGTTTGGTCCAGTCGTCAGGTCGGTGTTAGGATAGTCGGTGGTACCTGCAATGGGGATGAGGTAAGAAGAAAAAAGTCTCTTTTTAATGTGGTACAATAATAAATCAAACCATTGGAAAAGCAATGGGAATCTATGTCTTTCCCCAACAGCAATGAAGCTTCATTTTGAGAAAGTGTGCTGGTACTGATCATAAATCATTGTGAATTGCGTATAGCGGTTATATTTGTACAATGAATGGTGGTGGTTATTTTACCTGACTGCTAAGAAAGCATAAATGCTTGTAAGTAAGCAACCAGACGGCCGACGGCTTTAGGTCCTCTCCAAGGGACCTGGTAGTGAGGATTAATGCCTAATTACCAATTGTGGTCATGTTTGTTTAATAATCACATATTGCGGTAAATTTCCCAGCAGCCAATTGGAATCATAACAGCAAAATCTTGTTGAAAACTTAATACCCTGAACTTCTAAATGGGCCATGTGCATGTGGCTTAAACATAGTCCAAACTCTCCCAAGGAATCCCTTGTCCAATTTAGCAATAATATCTCTCAAAATTGACAATTTTGGAAGGCTATATGTTGGAATTAATCTTTGACAGGAATAAAAAGAAGAAGAAGGAGATTTTTTTTTAAAGAAGAAGAAGAAGAAGAAGAAGAAGAAGAAGAAGAAGGAGAAAGAGGAGAAGGAGGAAGAATTGTGTTGATATAATGAATTTTCAGAGGATACAAGGTGCTAGCTGTCCCATAGCTTAAGGACAGATTGAAGTAAATATAATAGTTACTAAACTCTACATTATCTTTAAAGTGAGTCAGAGACTCTTTGAGGTCTTTAAACTGTTTCCATCATCCTACTAGCAATTCCCTGGCCTATAGCTGCATGTGCATCAGACCACAAAACCACATCACTTGTGGCTTTTCTACAAAACAACATTTACATCTAAGTAACCACACTTAACTCACCATCCAACCATTCACATGTATCTCGAATTTTGAAAAGCTGTGCTCTTCAAAATTGTTGTCTGCAACTTTTCTGAATCATTTGAATCATTCTCTGTTAATCTATGCTTTATTCTCTCCACTCTCCCCCTTCTCTCTCTCTTCCCCTATCTCTCTCTTTCTCTCTCTCTCTCTCTCTCTCTCTCTCTCTTTCTTTCTCTCTCTCTCTCTCTCTCTCTCTCTCTCTCTCTCTGTTTCTATCATCTACTTCTCTAGCTTTCTTAAGCATGATGTCTTTCAGTGGTTATTTTTTTTGCTGTATTTCTTCTTAATCCTCAGAAACTCTTATCCACTTACCCCATCCCTCTTTCCTCCCTTCATCTTTTTTAATAATAATAATAATTATAATAACAAGATCTTCTATAGCGCGGTCTCCTTCAGCCAAGCACTCTTGGCGTACGTACGTTGCTCCAAAATGTAATACATATCAACCAAACTCTGTAGGTGCACTGCTCATGGTATATACAGTTAAAACAGTATCCAATAGTTTATCTTTCCTTCGTTCATCTTTCTCTTTCTCTTTAGTCTCTATTTCCAGTACTCTGTACTGCTTCTTCTCTTCACCCACCCATCCAATATAATGAACACATCTTCATCTTGTCTATCCATACATTTTAGTATGGGACGGTCTTTAAAGATAAAGTTGAGTTCTGGTCATGGGATTGCATTGTAAATGTAGCATGTATCATGTAAGGTTCTGGAGTCATCAAAAATCAAAATCATAATAAATTTGACCCAGTCTTGGTAAAGTAACAAGCACTGTACACAGAAAGATATGGGACTACCCAAATGGTGTTGGTGCTACTAACCTTGATTTCCTTATCTTTCTATGCTCGTTACTCAGCCAGTATACATTTTCTACCAAAATTGTTTGGCAAATGACATATATTTGTATTCTTGAACATTCAGTTTCGTTTGATTCTGTGAGACTTCATTTTCTTTTTTTACCAGAACTCAACTTTATCTTTAATCACGAGTCTGCTGTTTTCCAATGCTTTCAGACGACTTTGGTTTTATCCCTATTTCTGGGAGGATGAAATCTACTCGAGACAGGCTACCCCAAATCTAACCTTCGTGTGCGCACAGCAGAATTACATTATATAAGCAAGGGAATTCTTTATACACTATACCTCAAGGAATTGCCTATATTCCTTTTAGAAAGACACCTTACGGTTTCATTTACATTAAAAACTCATGCGCAGGCACAAGCTATCGACATCGAGTGCCAGATTTCTACAAATGTTAATCCAAACCGTAGGTTCACGGTCCAACCATGAAATGGAGAAGAAAATCTTCTTGGTGCTTAAACCGCTTTTCTTCATTTATCTACATATAATTTATATGCAACCTATTCTTCTAAATGATAAGAATTTGAAATCCCCCCCCCCCTCCCAGCCCCTCCATCCCAAAAAAATGCAATGTCCTAGATGTAAAAACAAATCATGTACATTTTTGTTGTCTCATACAGCTAAACAAATGTATCATTGTGGACACTTGAAGTTCGAAGTTGTCAAGTCATCGTAAAATTAACCCTAACTCTACATCCAACCCTAACCCTAAACTTAACCTAAACCATGATCGCAATCAAAATTGACAAAATAATGCCCAGCGCATGTGTTGGAGCCTCCCTACCCTGTAGAGGTGTCGTGGTCGAGTGGATATGTCACCGGACTGGGTCACAAGGTCCGCGGTTCAATTCCCGCCGCAGCACCAATGACCTTTGGCAAGGCATTAATCTACAATTTGCCACACTCGATCCTGGTGAGGTAAATGGGTACCTGACAGGAATCGATTCCTTGAAATGCTAGAGCCCTGTAATGGTAGCCATGCTAAAGCCGGAGTAATAATTTCAAAATCTCTTTTGAAGCGCATATATTAGAGACGCTATAATGTGATGCGCTAAAAAAGAACCAAATATTATTATTATCATTAATTTTACCAGCATACCTACCAACCTTTCACAGACATAATAAGGAATCTCTCAAAGAAAAATTGTGAATACAACCTATTTTGCATACTTTCCATACAAATATTTAAGAATTGTAAAGAATCAGGGGTTTTTGCACCATAGTTTGAGGACCAAAAAATAGTAATCATTATTTCCAAAACAGGAAAGGCTAAAAGCAATGCATCTGTTTGGCCTGTGCTTAGTAAAAGCAATGGAGCAGTTATCGCTTACATACTAATAAAGCTTAGCCTTTCATTAGGTTCATAAATCTGGCTTACACGCACCAACTAGTCATATGAGCAATGATAACATGTTTTCATTAGGCATTGGGCCTTCACCGGTGAGGCGCACTCAATTTGAGACTCTATTCTTCTCCAATTTCCTCAAATAATAGCCCGAAGAAAATGATTCACGTTGAGAGGTCGCCGCTGCGCTGGCTTGTTTAGCTTGGATAATGCACATGCAAGGTGTGCTGGAAAAAATAATGTTTTTATTCACCATGGATCTCAATTTCAATTTCAATTTCATTTATTTCCACAGATTCATAAAAGACAATTTAAATTACAATCAAATATAAAAGCATTACAACAAAAGATGAACTTGTAGAGGGGGCGATCAAAAACCACAGAGGTTTATCAGGGATCACCCCCTGCTTAAAATTACAATATCAAAATACATTAAAATTTTAAAATATGAATCAATAAACACATACAAAAACATATATAAATATTACATGCGAATCTATGTGTGGGGTGAGTAGTAGTGGGTTGGTGATACCAATAAATACAATATATAGAGGAAATGAATGATATACAGGAAAGAAGGAAAAAAAGAGAAATAGTGAGAAAAATAGTAAAAAACACAAGTTGGATACAATCTGATCTAATGGGAATGTTTCTCTTTAATTCTCGCTACCCTAAATAGGTACGAAAATCTCGAAATTCGCGAGACGAGGTAATTTTCACTCTCTCGGGTCGTCACTACAACTTCCGGTATAGAGTCCCATCCCGCTGGCGCTAGCGCCTGTGTTCGCTGTGCAGAGACCAAAATTATTCCAGAAAAAGTATTTGGGATAGCCTTTGGCATAACCATCTGGATCAATCTGCTCCTTATCGAAATGTCTCGAACAAAGCCGCGATTTTTTGGTCAAATTCACTTTGTCCTTGCGGCGAATCAAGCGCAGCCATGTCGCTCGTGTTCCAGCTTCGGTGGGACATTTCACCCAAGTCACGGCCTTCATCCACCCCCATTTTTCAGGGTTCTTACGCTTGGAATCATGAGCCCAGCACTGTGCAGCCTCACAAAAGAAAACCATCGTCACTGATGTCAAAAGACGCAAAAAACAACGAATGAAATGTTCAAATAAACGTTGAAATATTTGCGAAAAAAAAACAAGACCGAGCAGACGACATATTCGGTGCATACACGTTGTGTGGCGACGGCGTTTTACGTTTGCGCTATCGCGCCTAGTAATATAGCGCCTGCACAGGAAGCTGTAATGTCGAAAAGCTATCCCATAATGCAATGCGCGTTTTCAGGATTTTCCCCGGATCTCGGCAGAATCGCTATTTGGGGTAGCGAGAATTGGTCGGAGCCAGAAGGGCTTTAGGTCTTCACATACAACACAGCGTTAATGCCTTTCTGCCTCTCTTTAAGAAAAAATATATACTTCCTCTTCAAAGAAAGTATTCAAAAAGTTTTCAGAGCCAAGAGGGCTTTAAGTCATATCATTTAACATGGAGTAATGCCCTTCTGGCTCTTAATGAACAACATATTCAAAGGAAGCTATAACAAATGTGCTTTATTTAATCTGTTGAGAGTCAGAAGGGTATCTCATGATATAATTTCGTCGCTGTTTTCACGAAGTGACGGCAGTGAAAAAAAAATTGCATTCACTTTGCGTGACGATTTTCCTCACTACCGTCACTTCGTGAAAACAAGGACGATTTAACAAAGAGTTAATACCCTTTCGCTCTCAACAGACAATATATCCAAAGTTAGTATAAAATGATGTGACAAGATTGTGCCTCTGATATTGTCCATTTAGAGTCAAAACGGAATTAAGTCATATATCATCTAACAGAGTTAATGCCATTCTGGCTC